TTGAAAGTTTGTTAATTTCCGTGTAAAACAACAAAAACTTGTCTCTGTAACTAGTAATCTTAAGTTATGTTTGATTCATTAATTTGGGTAAGATAACGAAATAGTAGTCAAGTGGGTTTATGTATCACTCAAATTAGAGGTTAATGCATTACTGCTGCAGATTTGCTTTTACGAACTCTTAATCTGAATTCTTTTGTATTGAGTTTTAAGTGAGGTTAATGCAATGAAGTTTAGCTTACTGCATTACTGCTGAAGATGATGATCTAATTCAGGTATGAACTCTGCCTTTGAAACAAGACTTCTTTTTCTTGTTAAGCATGTTTATTAAGAATTATGTTCGTTCGTATATCAGCTTCTCACATCAGTTTTCTTTATAATGTGTGTTTCATTTGGTGTTTGGGTTCCTTTAGTTGTGTAACCTTAGGGTTTAGTGTTCTATTTAGAGTGCTTTTATTTTTTTTTCTTGAGCTCTTCTACTAATACTCCTTAGGGTATAGCTTTTTCCTTGATACATGTGTGTTTCATATGGTCCTTGGGTTCCCTTGCATACAATCTTTAGGGTATAGTTTTTTCTTAGTACATTTGTGTTTCATTTGGTCTTTGGGTTCTCTTAGTTGCAATCCTTAGGGTATAGTTTTGTCTTAATACATGTGTGTTTCATTTGGTCCTTGGGTTCCCTTAGTTACAATCCTTAGGGTATAGTTTTGTCTTAATACATGTGTGTTTCATTTGGTCCTTGGGTTCCCTTAGTTACAATCCTTAGGGTATAGTTTTCCTTGATACATATGTTATTCTCTTTTGCGTTCTTTATGGCTTATTGGTTTACTTTAACCCATGTATGTTGTAAGTAAAATGGCTTCTAGCCGTAGTCAAACTCCTCATTTAGTCGCATGGGTTAATATATACATTCATGCTCTAGTTCATTACTTTCTTAATTAATCTATGATTGCTTCTTATATGTTAACTTATATGAAATGTTTATTTCAGGGTTTTATTGATGGTAAGTATGATGATCTTCTTGAACAATTGTCTCACATGGTTTTTGTCATAGATGAGATGGTTGGAAAGTCAAAGAAGATCTTGAAGGAGTTAGTAGCTTAAGGAACTGATTCTTGTTTTTCATGTTCATAATTGATATATCGTTGTCTTATAAGATTGAGAATGTGGTAAGAGAAATCTACGGCATAAGCTCTGCAAAAACTTTCTCCAAGCATCACCATCTGAATCACATAATGTTAAAATTCCCAAAGCACCAGCACCATTAACATCTGAAGCAAACTTTCTCAAAGCACCATAACAGTATTTGTGAATCAAACTCCCCCAAAGCAAACCAACTCTCCGACTCGTCTAAGAAATTCAAGCGCCATAAATCACCCTCGTTTTGATAGGGTTAGTTTCGGCAGTTTGCTTCATCCAAAATGCCTAGTTTTATAAGCATGGAAAGAAATGCCTTATTTCAAAGTTTTGACACACAAAATGCCTATTTTAACAATAACCCCTATATATCTCATTTTGAATACTGCAGGATTCTGTTTTTTTTTTTTTTTTTGTGTTTTCAAATAGATGTCACTTTTGGTTGGGACCAAACCAAAAAAAAAAAGCAAGTTGATTGAAAAAAAACAAGAGAGACAAAAAATAATAATAATATATATTACATGAAATTAAATCTTTTTTTTTTGGTGCGTATGGATTGCCGCCTTATCCCAAATTAAAGGTAAAAAAAGCAAAAAGTTTAGAGAAAAAACCTAATTATGTGTGATTAAATATTATATTTGTGTGGAAATCTTCTTTGGAAAAAAATTATACAACCTTGAAAATCAAATGTCTTACTTAAGTTGGAAATTAGTTTTTTATTAGTGAAATGGTGTCATTTGTTAAAACGGTGTTGTTTGTTTTGTTGACCACCAAATAAATAATAAGAAAAACAAAATACTTTAAAATAAAATAAGACCAAGAAAGAGAAAAAAAAAAAGGGTGTGCTGCTGTGCATATAAAAATTTAAAATCTCACAATTTCTCCTCCTCCGCTGTGAAACAATCTCTTCTTTGGTATTTGGAAATGGTACTTCCGTTTCTTTCTTCTTCTCTCCTTCTCCTCCGTTTCTCTTCTCCGATCATGTCCCCTGATCCCTTCTCTTTCTCTTTTTAATCTTTATTTATTTTGATCCCCTGAATACTCAGATCAATCGCTCGATTTTTAACTTAATTTGCAGAAGAATTAACTATATTATTATATATATAAACCCCAATAGAGATATGTCTATGGAGAGTTCGTTGGGTTTCATGGCGGTCTTCGCCGTCTCAGGCAGCGTCGTGTTCTTAGCGAGTCAATTCCACAAGCGTCTTCTTTCCGATTACATGGATAAGTTCGATTTCGAACTCCGTACGTCCCCCCTTCCTTTTTTCTTTTAAACCTTTTTCCCCAATGATTTGTGAGGAAGTTGAATCATTGGTTTGTTTAAATTTATGATGAGACAGGATCGCAGAAAAATGTGGTGATGAAGAAGAAGGTGAGATTCGCGGCGGATGTGGTTGAACCGTCGGCGAACAACAAAGAGTATCGCCGGAGACACTCTTCCAAATCCAAATCTAATCCCAAGATGGCGCCAACTCTTTGATCATTACAACGTTTTAATCTCTCTCTTTTATTTTGTACAATTCTGTAAATTATTATTATTATTATTCATTGGGGGTTTTTGTGATTTTGAATCTTCCTTAATTTTTAATTTTTCTGATATGAATCTGAATCTGAATCTGAATCTGGGCAAAACCTTCTTCAAGTCTTTCCCCCAGGGTCAAATTCTTTTTCTTATTTTTAATTTTCAATTTTTTTTTTCTTGAGGGGTTTTGACATGTAAATATTGTGTTGTTTCTGTATATACAAAAAACAATATTGTGATTGGCTAATTTTAAATTTTCATTCTTTTGAGTTTTTTTTATTTTTATATATAAATGATGTTGTTAAATCATGTGTTGTTGTGATTTTAGCTTAAGCCTTAATTAATTGAGGGGTTTACCACATAATACATACTGTATCGAATATGTTGTGCTGGCTTGGCTCTTTTTAATTAAACTTTTCCCATTATGATAGTTTATAGTTTATGCTACAAAACTATGATTGTGTTTGGTGATGCAATAAAGTGACGCCCTAGTAATAACTGTTTATTCAGATGCTTTACTTTATCTACAAATAAATCATCTGAATTTACATTATAATTTTCATTCAATTATCTTTGCAAACCACCTCTAAATCTGAATGTAACCTTTAGTCAAAATATATAAATGTTCTGTATTTTGGTTTGCAGTTTACACTGTTTTGCATTAAAGAAAGACATTGTAGATTTTAAGATGTTAAAAAAATAAAAATAAAAAGAAGACGAGTCTCGAGACAAATGAAGCTTCACCACAAACCTGATAATTATATTGAAACAAATATTAAAACTACGAAACAAGGTTAAATAGTTTAAGTTATCTTTGCAGTAACGTATGAAAGCAATATTTTCACAAAGTCAAGCTTATACTATTCTGAAGCAAAGTCACAGCCAGAACCTTAAAGATTGTACGAGTATATATACTAAAGATATGAGATTATATATATATACTAAAGATATGAGATTTTTTCAAAGATTTGGGATATAAAAAGAACCGTTAATGTATAGAAACGTGGTATTATTAAATAAAATGAAAAGGGGTATATGGTGAACAACTCCCGAAAGGCCAAAATGAATTGTGGCTTACGAGAGTCTGGAATTGGTCATTCGTATTACAATATACTAATCTTCTGACGATTATAACGTGACGACATGCATATTTATATCCAACCAGATCTTATAAATATATAACTAATACTATTTGCATCCCACTCTCCTAGTCGTAGAGAATGAGTAAAGTGAAGGTGACGACACAAAGCAGAGTCTGTAAACTGTAAAGAATAGAAGCTTCTTATTCTCGTTAATAAAATAAGTTTATCACCAATCTTAACCTTACTCGTATAACTTCTTACAAGTCATCATAATCATGTTCCTGCTTTTTGGTATATGAACATGTTTCTTCAACGCATATGAGTAGTGGGCCGAATGATGGGTAGTTATTTATATTCACTCACGGCCCAGTTTGTTTAAAACCATACAATTGGGAAAGCTACTCTTATCAACAGTTTTGTTTCTTTGGTCCCATTACCCATACTCCTATTCCTCCTATATGATACACCCACCACAAATACAACCCTAGGCTAAGGGCATCCTCATTAGGGTATCTTAGGAGGCTAAGATACCCCCACTTTTCTAAAGAAAATCCTTATATAATATATTTTCTTTGAAAAAGTGGGGGTATCTTACCCTACTAAGATACCCCCAATGAGGATGGTCTAAGCATTCTCCATTTAAGACACTGTCATAACTCTTTCTTCTGTCTCGTACCTAATGTATTCATTCTTGTAGCATTTAAACTTTAAAGACGATCATCGTTTCACCAAAGAACCACGACTGACATTATATTAGTTTTGTTTTGTTTATATTCTTGTAGAAGAACACTTAGGTTATAATTATATAAGATTAAACATATATGTTTCTACTTATCAGCTATATATATTGAATTATAACTTTTCTATTTAAGTTTGTAACATGTAACAATACAAAAGTTTGTCAATGTATCTAAATACAATTGTCACCGTGCATGCATGCCAGCAGCATAGATCGAATAGGTAATTTAATAAGACTTTAGATCGATATATGTAATACATATCTGGATTTGCCATTATGTCTAGGTTAAATAGAGGAAATATATAAATAGTACCCCAGTGAATTAAAAAAAGAAAATAGTTGTATGCAATGCAAATTTCAGATTGTGTTGCGTTCAATTACGTGCATGTGTCCAGATCATAGACCGATTAGTTGTCTGAAATATAAATGTCTGTTGTTCCATAAATGCCACGATCCCATATGTATAAAAATATCACGCATCAAATTCATATAGACGTATATTTTTATATTTTTCAAATAATTTTATATAAAGTATATATACACAGTACGTATGAAACAATCATATGGTTGTTAAAAAATGAAAAGAAATAAAAGAGAAAGATTGTATTGAGAGAAGTTGTATCTAATACAAAATATTGAATTGTAAGATCTTCCGTATCAAATATTGACCAAAAAATAATGTAGTTCGCATCTACCAGAGAGAGAGAGAGAGAGAGAGAGAGAAGTTTCCGAAGAAGTTTCTAATTCTTCTTCCTTTTTTTTTCTTTTCATCTACCACATTATAGTTCGCATTATACATACTAAAATTTACTGGGACGAACCTAATTAAGTATACAAATTTGGAATGTATTGAATTAGTGATCCGACAGCTAGCTTGTACAAATGGATTATACGGTTTGACCCCAAGACTTGTAGAGTTCTATATATACTAGGCCATATATAGATAGTCTGATTATAGGATTTAAATGAAAGCCTCAATTAATAGTATAAAATTTATCACTCACTAGGGCCAAAATGAGTTTTCAGGAAACCTGCTAATTTTATGTCTATCTAGCTAGTCCAAGTAGTGAGTTCGTAGTCCATTTTCATGTCACGGGTTTCTTGTCATGTTTTAATTAATGGAACAATTATTTAAAGTTTTGAAAATCTATCTGGTCATGAATGAATTCTTGATCAGTATATATAACTAACCTATTTGGAGACACATTTATCTTCTTTTAAAAATTTATTTCATTGGCCTATAACCTATTTTATTTTTGGATATTAAAAAAAAAAACCTATTTTATATTTGACTTTTTGATGTATACGTTATAGAAGCTTAAAAACAAAGGTATATGTTTGAAGGCGACGAAGAATCTAACGGTTAGCAAAACGTCGCCGTTTCTCTAGCTGTACGGCATGTAAATAGAAGCAATGCGTACTCTTAACTAAGGCTTGGCGTAAACGGTAAACACTAACCCTAGAAGTTATTTTTTTTTCTTTTTTAATTTGCACGTACGAAATTTTATGTTGTAAACTAACAAACTGAAAACTATAGTTCAACACTAATTAATTCTTATAACGTGGTTGGATACAATCTTAGTTCAACACTAGCTAATTAATCCTTATAACGTGGTTGGATACAATCTTAGTTATTTTCTTCTACAATGTTCTAGATTCTCGACCAATAAGACAATTTATCTAGCTAGCTAGTTCGGAAATCAAAGATATTCTCATGTTTACGAGATATATATCTATATTTGTTGTATACAAATAGAGTAAACATACATGTATTTGTCTTATCATTTTTAGATAATTGATATATACTGTTTATTTTGTTATGCTTTAACCAATTACGTAAATGTAGAAAACATTGAGGTACACTATTTCAAGATTCGTAGTTTCGTACTGTTGGTTTGTCGTGGATTAACAACAAAAGGTTTAATTCAATATCCAAGATAAACTAATTCTACTTGGGCAGCGTAGTTACTGTGATAGTTTTGGGATCGTGGGAAGTTATGTGATGAGTTTAAGTTAGATCGAACGTGTCAACTTGTATATTTCTTTCTATATTTACCATGTTTTCTAAGTTTATAATGATTAGCTAGCAAAACGAAAGATTTATAGATCGATTATAACATAAATCATTTCGTAATACAAATTTAAACCATTTGCGTTTACGCTTACATGTAATTTAATAAGAAAATAGTTTTACAAATTCTAAACGCAAGCATAGTTTTTTACTTGTTCTTTTATTGCATGCGTATACAATACAAAACGACTTCTGAGTTCTGACTACAACACCTAAACATTGTTAAATTTGAAAAATATACGATTAAATCACATATATGCAAATAAATACAAAACGAAAGAAATAAACAGTTTAGATCTTAGACTGAATGATTTGCCAAATTGAAAACCTGAGTTCTTAATTATTATTAGAAGGATCACCGGCGAGAATTCTAGCTATGATTAATTCAACAAACAAAACATTAAATAAATGATTTAGAAAGATTATAATAATTCTCTGTCTGTATAGAATTTTATTTAGAGAGGACGTGTTTTTATAGTGTCGCTTCATACTAAAACAAATAAAAGAAAATAAAAAATAATTTCAGGTGGCTGGCTAGCAATAGCATTCACAATCATATTAAAATCTTGTAAGGTTACTTAAAACACATATCATAGTAATTTAAAATGATAATTTCATGCTAATTCTTTCGATGTTTTTGACGGTCACACCGACACATTGTTTGATATCCTCGTGATCTCTTTTTTCCATTTTGTCTTTCTTTTTGTCTTTCTTTAAAACTATACGACACTAATTAATAGTGCTTCATCAGTTCATCTCATTATATATTTCATAAAATATAACTGCTATACAAACCCCAACACTAGACAATATTAATAATTAAGCACATCTCTCATTTATGTGTTTACTACGAACCAACTACAATTAGCCATTTATATTATCCAAAAGCTAATTAACTCATCATGGTGAGTGGTGTGACTCATAAGAAATTGATTAACATTGCGGTTTACGGAATCAAAACATTTCCTTAAGATTCCTGTTTGATATTATTACAACAAAAAGACAAAAACGGAAAGTATTTGACTTGAAGGCAGCAACGTACGTACGTGAATGTGTAATGCAATTTTGAGTAACCGACACACACGACACCGAAGCTCAAAATTCAAAGAGACAGAGCTGCTGAGCTGTTGTTAATTCCCTGAAAAAGCTGAACTCTTGGCTTCAAGTTTATATATATTTGACATCACCATTTAATTTATTTCCTCGTGTAGACCCCCAAAAATGCAAAATATTTAATAAATAGAATTAGTGAAAAAGCATTAAACCCACCCACCTAAAAATAATTAAGAAGAAATTGAAACACAAATTTATTTAGTGATATAAAAAAAAATATTAAACAAATAGGAAGCAGAAACATCACAATCACTTTAATCACAATCACCATCTCAATATCTCTCCTCCTTCCTTATTCAACAAACCCCAAAATAAAAAATAAACTCAAGAGCCATTCTTCATTTGGCCGACACTTCTTCCATTCTCCACCACCACCATGGAAGGTCTCTCCAAGCTCTTCCTCCTCCCCCTCTTCCTCACTTTCTCCATTACAACCGCATTATCAGATAAACCCGGGTCGGGTCAAATAAACTCAAACTCCGTCCTCGTAGCTCTTCTTGACTCACACTACACAGAGCTAGCAGAGCTCGTTGAGAAAGCTCTTCTTCTCCAAACCTTAGAAGAAGCTGTTGGTAAACACAACATCACAATCTTTGCTCCCCGCAACGATGCCTTGGAGAAAAATCTTGATCCTGAATTCAAATCTTTCTTGCTCCAACCAAAGAATCTCAAATCTTTACAGTCTTTATTAATGTTTCACATTCTTCCCAAAAGAGTCACTTCTCCTCAGTTCTCATCTGCCGTCGTCAGCCACCGTACTCTCTCCAACGACCAACTTCACCTCACCAACGGAAAAGTCAACTCCGCTCATATTACCAAACCCGACGATTTAACCCGACCCGACGGAATCATCCACGGTATCGAACGTCTTTTAATCCCACGTTCTGTTCAGGAAGATTTCAACCGCCGTCGTAGTCTCCGTTCAATCTCCGCTGTGTTACCGGAAGGAGCACCGGAGGTTGACCCGAGAACTCACCGTCTCAAGAAAAAACCCGTTCCAGTTCCAGCCGGAGCTCCACCGGTTCTACCAGTTTACGACGCAATGTCACCCGGTCCATCACTAGCTCCGGCTCCGGCACCAGGACCCGGTGGACCTCGCCACCATTTCAACGGAGAGGCTCAAGTTAAAGATTTCATACACACGCTTCTTCATTACGGTGGCTACAACGAAATGGCTGACATTCTCGTCAACCTCACTTCTTTAGCCACCGAGATGGGTCGGCTCGTGTCGGAAGGTTACGTTTTGACCGTTTTGGCTCCAAACGACGAAGCTATGGCTAAGTTGACCACAGACCAATTAAGCGAACCGGGAGCTCCAGAGCAAATTATGTATTACCACATCATACCGGAATACCAAACCGAAGAGAGTATGTACAATTCCGTACGCCGGTTTGGGAAAGTCCGGTACGATTCTCTCCGGTTTCCTCATAAAGTAGATGCTCAGGAAGCAGATGGCTCGGTTAAGTTCGGTCACGGTGACGGTTCGGCTTATTTATTCGATCCTGACATTTATACCGACGGCCGAATATCGGTTCAGGGGATTGACGGCGTTTTGTTCCCGGAGGAAAAAACTCCGGTCGAGAAGAAAACCGCCGCTCCAGTTGTCAAGAAAGCAGCTAAACCAAGAAGAGGTAATCAATTTTTTTACTTAATTAATCTTTAGTCTCGTAATGTTTTGGCCTTTACCTATTTGATCGTGACATTTTAACCCAAAAGTATATAAGTTTAGAAAAATACATACAAAAATAATAAAGTTATCTAGTTGTTTTTTACTTATGTGGTGTGATATTTTACCATATAATATGGATAATTAAATCATTGTTATAGAAAGGTAAGAGTGATTAGTCTATTATATAGTATAATTATCGTCTTTCAACGAGAGTAAACAAAGTGAGAATTGGCATAAAGTACAAACGTGTGAGAATGGAGACAAAGTCTTTCTAACAAACTTTTGTAATGATAGTATTATCTTTCAAGAATATTTATACTTATAAAATTTGGAGATAATTAGGACTTTTTAAAACTATTTAATGATCCACCGACGAAGTATCCCATGTTAAAGTGAATGAAAAATATATATATTCACAAAGTGTTTCTTTCTCTTTATTTTTTTATTTCTAAAGCCGAGTTATCAGTCACATTTGTTAATAAAGATAACAACTTTCTCTCTTTTTGTTTTCTAATAGATTTATTTGAGCATTAGAAATTATTTTAATAGTCTTTCCCTGTTATTGCTATTGTAATGACTTAATATAGTACACTGACAAAATAAATACAAAACCGTTTGGAAAATTAAATAATTTATAATTGATTTTTATATTATGGTTGCAGGTAAATTGATGGAAGTAGCATGTACAATGCTGGGATCACAATTTCCGACATGTCAATGAGATTTTTTCACAGGCGACCAGATAAAATCCGGACATGAGAAATTTTATAATTCTGTAAGCATTGTGATAAAAAAAAAAAATGTGAACAGAAAGAAAGAAATAATGTAAATGATTATTTTTTTGGCTCATTGCAATAAGAATGTTATATCGTAGTTTTAAGTTTTTATATCATCTCTGGTTTTTATATGTATAAAAATTGTAAAGGTTATAGACGATCTACACACAAGATAAAGGAACTCCAATCTTTCTCCCAAATTATGTCATCTGTCGTAACATAACTCCCCCTCGGAACGAACTATATATCTTGGGAGAGAGAGCTGTCGGTCCATATCTATATCTTCTAATGGACTATTAAAGGCAGAAACTTTACGATTTCAAATTTGAATTTGGGCCTCGACTAATAATAGTTTAAGGCCCTAAAACTTTTCGAAACTTTCCCGCGCGCAAACTTTTGTATAATCAAGTCCTAAAAGCTAAGCTTGCACGTTTTTTTAAGTGTCATGTGTCCATTGGTGATTGGTACTCTATAAGTAGAGATTGCGATTATCTAAGGAGTTGGAGTGCCATGAGATGCAGCTGTTCACCGAGATGCAGGTCTGCCTTCAAAAGCTCAGGCGTACCCCTTGGTCCAAAGGACAGATTTTCACCTCCTCCACCGGTGAGACCTGAAACCAACCATTCACTCTGCCGTATTGTGTAATCTATTTGGGATTCTTGGCACTTCTCCCTTGTTTCTGTTGTGAAATCTTGTCACATCTCTCATTCTTTTGGATTTATGCATGCTACGCCTACTATATAGCATAAGAGTAGAATCAGAGTTTTTTTTTAACCTTTTTAGTTTTTACTTATGATTCTCTATTCCCACAACGACCTATGCACAGAGGATTGACGAACTACAAATCCATCTGATAAAGTCTTCAGCAAAATTTAAAGGTAAACTTGGTTCTGTTTCTTGCAGCAGAGAGCTACATGATTTCACATACGTTTGAAGTACAAAAAAAGATAAAAGGTTATGCATTAGAAACTAGTGTAACCATAACTCTTGAGACACAAATCCATCTAATTCAGGGCATCAAGATACACACACAAACCCCAGTTTTAGAAACAAAGCAAAACCGTAAAAATGTGAAGAGAGGTCACATGTCATCTCAAGATCCGGAAGTTCCAAAAAGACAGTAAAGATATGAGAAGACCCTTGGAGCGTATTTGGATTGCAAGAAGTCACTTTCTGTATATGATTTTGCGTCCAAGCGTGGGATAGCGAACCAAGTTGCTAACCTGAACAAACAACATAAGATAGCAGATTCCAATTCACAATATGATGCTGCAGATTCCAAATCACAATATGATGAGATCACAGATTCCGATTAACACAAATGAATCAAATCATTGGTTATCCCAAATGTCATACCAATCTCTCCTTCTCGTTCTCTTGGAGCTTCCTAACCAGACTCTGAGTAAAGAGCTTTACGGAATCGTAATCATTCTACAAAACAAATCAAAGATTTCTTTGAGTGATTCTTGTATAATGGTAAAAGCAACAAATGCACACAAATACTCACCACAGATATCCTCTGAAGGATCCAGCGACCTTCCGAAGGAGAAAATCCAGTCTTCTGAGTATCTTCAACCTACGATACAGAGACATAGATGGATATGATCCTAACTCCTAAATCAGAAAAAAAAAGCAAAATCGATCGATCATTCATGATCCTAAACTCAAAACGATCATGAAATGCAAACTCAGGCCGATCATCGATGATCCTAATTCCGAACTCAAAACGATCATGAAAAGTAAACTCATGCTATGCAACCCCAGTACCAAAACCTAAGATCGATGATCAAAAGAGTAAAATAAACAAACTCAGGCTATGAAATCGCAGTCCGCAACGGCGCAACACTAAGAGCGATGATTATAATCATGAAAAAGAGTAGTGTAAGCATGGAAACTCAGGTTTACCTGCGTGGAATCCATTGTTAGCGAGCTGATGAATCGATCTGAGAGAGACGAAGAAGATGATGATTGATGGATTGAGCTGAGAGAGAGTGAGATGGAGAGAGCGATTGAAACGAAAGAGCGATCAAATGAGAGAAGAAGCTTCTACAACGAAACTGATAACGGTTTTTCGTTCTATATAGGTATTACAATTCTGAAATTTCTATTTTACCCCTACTCTCCTTTTTTCTTTCGGGTTTATTGTAATTTCCTTTTATACATTAGGAACTAGGAAGTTTCTGTTAACAGCACAACTCTCAAAACAGAATTAGTTATGACGTCGTTTCGAGGAGTCAACAAAATCTCACACTTTCTCAGACCGGTTTGATTTACTCATCTAATCCACTCGTACCGGATTTCAGCTTCAACTGAACCATAACCTTCGCTGCCTAATAGAGACTCTCTCTTATCAAGGCTTCAACTTCAAGTAGCCTTTTCTCAACGGACTAAGCCAAATCCAACATCTTCTTTAGGTCTTTTTCTTAAATTTTCCTTTTTTTTTTAGAGAATGATAAATATATGTCAAGTACTTGTACTTCCTTCTATTCCTTGGAATCTTCGGATAAGTGAGTTGACTTCCGTTATTTCAATATATATAATAATTAGGACAGTCTTATTTTAGGGTTATGCTTATGTTTTGTTTTTTTTCCTTGTATTGTTGTTTGGAACAGAACTGCGAGAAGAAAACTAATGAGATTGTCTTTTCGTCTTGCCGCCGTGAAAGCGCTGAGGAAGAAGGTACAAGGAGGATGCAAAAGGAGAAGAAGAGACATCGTGAAGGCCGGTTCGAGATCAGCTACCTTTAAAGAGATCCCAGAGGAGGTGTTGATAGAGATCCTGGTGAGATTACCTGCGAATTCGGCGATGAGGTTCAAGTGCGTGTCAAAGCACTGGTCATCACTCATCTCCTCCCGATATTTCACAAACCTTTTTTTCCAAGTCTCATTAACGAAGCGAGAACGGCGTGTGTTCATGTTTCTGTCAAACAATGAACACCGCTGTGCGTTGCTGCTCTCTAATAATGACGACTTGAAACCGGACTCTTTCTCTCACCTCAACCATGATCTGACCTTGCCTCGAATGAGAGGCGACTTTGTAAACGCACTTCGTGGCTTAATGTGCTTCAGAGTTGGACGAGTGATACGAATCTGTAACCTTACCACCATGCAGTTGGCGAGCTTGCCCCAAGTTAAATCCAGCATGTTTCACGAAGCTCACGTCGATTTCCGTATGCAGAGCTTTTTTGGGCACGACTCTGTTCGTGATGAATACAAAGTGCTCAACACAGTTTGTGAGGTGAGTGAGGAAGAGGGAGTAGTGAGATCAGAGCATCAGGTGTTGGTACTTGGTCCTGGAGCTTATTGGAGAAACACTCAGAGCAATATTCCTCCTCCTCCTCATCGTCCTTGCACACAACGTCTCTCCATCAACGGTGTCTTTTATTATGGAGCTAGGATTGATAAGAACACATGTGTGCTCATGAGTTTTGACTTGACTTCCGAGGATTTTAGTTTGATTGAATTACCCATTGAGGCTAGCATTGTCTGGGATCGCCATCGCGCTAATATCATGATATACCAAGGTAAAGCAGCTGTTTTTGAGTATTCCCGTCTCGTGACTGGATGTATTCTAGACCTGTGGGTGGTTGAGGATGCAGGGAAGAGTGAATGGTCGCACAAGGCTTTTGTTTTGCCCATTCAGTTGCTTATGCAGAGCCTCTGTTTCGATGAGTTGTTGATGCATCATACCGGTCGCAGCGGAGAGCTCAGGTTGTCTGGGGCACGCTTTGATGGTAATAAAGTATCAATGCATGCTATTTACGATTTAGAAAGGAAATGTGTATCAAGAGGGGTTGTTGTAGGGCCCTTATACGCGAAGTTCCATGGATTCGAGTCTTTGGAGATAGCTCTTTGGGATGATGTTGAGAGCATCATGTATTTGAAAACCTAAAACTAATTATTTCAGCTTCTCTGTTTTCTTTTTTTTTTTGTTTATCTTTCTTGAAACTGTATATACAGCATAATAAGCACATGCCTTTAGTTACTAAATAAAGTACCTCTTCCCGCTCGACCAAGTGATATCTCAAACAAAAAGTTGTAATTCCGACCTTATATGGTTTACTCATGCAAGTAGAATAATCTTCATCACTGCATTGAGTCATTAGAGATCTCTATTTGCCTTTGTTTTTGGTCTTAGTTTGGTGCCCAAGAGTGGCTCAAGTACTGTTTACTTGGTCAGGCTGGCCAAAAGGTTGTGGTTTTAAGTCATATATGTCTGTGAAAAAAAGAAAAGTTTTTTTGAAAATTCAGGCATTTCAAATTTGGGAGCTTTTGCCGCAAAATCTAGTAAGCAAACCAATTCTTATCATGGATATCACATACAAGGTAACAACTAAAGGAATGGCATCTCCATCAGAAAAGGGCATCTTAAAAGGGATTAGTGATTCAGCATATCCATGAGGGGAGCGTCTAGCTCTCATGGAGCCTTTTTGGAAGTGGCAAAACAACAGTATAAATATGCTTGGTGGCAGTTTTATATAATCAAGAAAAATTTATGCTTCTTTGGCTTTGATAGCCGAAAGCTTTGGTTATGTTACAATCACTCTCCTTTTGCTTGTTTCTCTGGTTTTTATGCTGCTCAGATGTCAGATCCATTACATGGGAGGGTGAAAACTGAAGAGAAGAAGGAACAAGAAAAAAGGTGTAACGTCCCAAATATTTGATAACACAAATTGTTTTTTTTTTTTGTAAGATAATAATAGGGAAAATTGATTTTAAAGGATGTTTTTTTTAAAATTTGTCCATTTATGTCTTCTTTTTTTAAGTTTGGTATATTAGGTTTTAGAATAGGAAAATGCTCAATTATATCCTTACTTAAATTATATGGAAAAAAACATCAAACTTTTTGAAAAAAAAAAACATCAAATTAGGAAATTTTCTGTAAGAAAAAAAAGATATTCTTAAATCTAAAAAAATCAAAAACATATATTATTTTTCCTTTAAAAAAAAAAACTCTTCTCATTTAATATTGTAAAAAGGTAAAAAAAACCAAAGATAGACTCGACGATGTCAAAATTTTCTGAAAAATAAAAACTTCATTTGTTCGTGATTATCAAACCTAAACTAGGAAGATTGTTTGAGACTAGCTCTTTGATATTGTTAGTTTTTAATTTTTGGTCAAACTCAAGGACTGTATATACACCTAACGTTCACTCAAAATAAAAATATATGATTTCTAGATATTAGGGAATACAAAATATTTTGTTTCCTTTAATTTAGGATTCAATTTCCTTGTATAAGATAGTTCTAAAAATTCGTAGAATACATTTTCTAAAATATGAAGAACGAAGAGTAAAGTGTAGAATTGATGATCTAACTTTTGCAGAATATAGGGTAAAGTGTAGAAAATAAATTCTAAAATTTGTAGAATATAGAGTAACATGTAGAATACATATTCCAAATTTTGTAGAACACCAACCAAACCTGAGTTCTAATTTTTTTAGAAGATATATATATTCTAAAATTTTCAGAACAAGTGCAATGTGAAGAATTTGTAATCTACAATTTTTAGAACATGTAGAGTGTGCAGAATTCATAATCTAAAATATTTAGAATACAGAAGATGTATTCTAAATATTGCAGAATGATTTTTTCAATATCAAAATCAACATACTTTCATCCAAAACTCTTTTGTTTAACATTAAATCTTATTAATCTTTAATTGTTGATATGTTTTAATTTAAAAATTAATTAAAAATTAATTTTATTTATTTAAAAGGGTAATTTAGGTATAACTGACAATTTACCGCAGAAAGCATAAAAGGACAAATTTTTTAAAAAACATCCTTTAAAATCAAAACCCCCATAATAATATATCATTATTTTGTTAAATGCCTTTCAAAATACTTTAATAAAAATTTTAGCAAAGAAAACTTTGTACAAAAATCGGGGAGAAGAAAATATATCTTATCCACTCTCTCTCTCTCTGTTCTCCTCCAAAAGTCCCACAAACCCCTTTTGAACAAAATGTCATCAGCTTATTGTTCCTCCGCCGTGGCTGTATCTGCCGGCGCCACCGCTTCCTCCGCCTCTGCCTTTAATCCGTTATTCACCTCCCATTCCAGTTTCCGACTCTTCTATCGCTTTACACCCAAAACCTTCAAACTCGTTGCCAATTCCCCTACTTCACTAATCCTCCATTCGAATACCCGTCGCCACCGGTTCTTCTGCGCCGCCGATAACGAAGCTAGCTCGGCCGAGGATGTAATCGAGGCTTCACTAGAAGAAGAAGACGACGTAGAAGTAGAAGAAGAAGAAGAAGAAGAAGTAGAGGACGGAGAAGACGCAGATGAAAAACAGACTACGCAGGCGAATGTTGAAGAAGGAAGGCTTTACGTTGGGAACTTACCTTACACAATCACCTCTTCTGAGCTCTCTCAGATTTTTGGAGAAGCTGGCAAAATCGTCGATGTTCAGGTTTATGAGATTTCTATCAAACTGTTATCGATTGATTTGGAGAGAGTTAAGCCGCTGAAGATTGTCTAACTTGTTGGCATTGTTCTCTGTTGCAGATTGTTTATGATAAAGTCACGGATAGAAGCAGAGGATTTGGATTTGTAACCATGGGAAGCATTGAAGAAGCTAAGGAAGCTATTCAGATGTTTAACAGCTCTGTAAGTTCTCTCATCATTTTGATCAAAAGCTGATTTTAAGCTTTACAAGAATGTTTCTCATCTCTTGTGTGTGTATGTAGCAAATTGGTGGTAGAACAGTGAAAGTGAACTTCCCGGAGGTGCCAAGAGGTGGAGAGAGAGAAGTAATGAGAACCAAAATCCGTGACAATAACCGGAGTTATGTAGACAGTCCTCACAAGATCTATGCAGGAAACCTTGGTTGGAATCTGACTTCACAAGGTCTGAAGGATGCATTTGCTGATCAATCTGGTGTGCTTGGTGCTAAAGTTATCTATGAAAGAAACACTGGCAGGTCTCGGGGGTTTGGTTTCATCTCTTTTGAATCAGCAGATGATGTTCAGTCTGCTCTGAGTACCATGAATGGAGTGGTAAGGCTTTCTCCATTCTTGTTTGGTTTGGTGATTTGGGTTTGACACTTATTAGTTTTGGTTTTGGTTTGTCTCTTAGGAAGTCGAAGGTCGAGCGCTGAGGCTAAATTTGGCTTCAGAGAGAGAGAAGCCCACTGTGTCTCCTCCGGCTGTAGAAGAAGGACTAACTGAAGAGGCTGTAGAAGAAGGAGCAACTGAAGAGGTCAGTGTAGAGAGTAGTGAGGTGCTTACAAACGTCAGTACATGAAGAAGCAATTGCACAATAGATTCCGGATAAGTTTCAGACTTGATCAGCTCGAGGCCCAAAATCGAATTTTTTGCTGTCCTTTATAAATGTGTTGTTGTATTCTACTAAGAAGAAGGCAATATATAAGATAGAAAACAAGAGATTTAATTTTGTTGTTGAGAATGCGTTTAATCCATAATAGTGTAATGTAACAACATATCTTGATTCCAATAAACTGCAAATTTTAGTCATAATTATCGCTACTCAGTCTCGTGGTGACCGGAAAGCATAGCATCTGCAGCAGAATCCAAGTCCTGAGGGAAGAAGACCCTGCATAAATATCGACAAGCCATCAGGACAAGATCTTTATGTAAGAACAGTTCTGCTTCATTCTCTGTGACGAAATAATGTGAAATCTAAATAGAGAGAACATGCCTGCAAGTGTTGTGGTACAAGGTTGAGCTAACTTGATTTATATCACCAAGTCCTTTATAGCCAGCCACTACCTCAAGAACTTGCCTGGAGATGAAAATGAGTGCCTAAGAAGTGTGGCAGAGACTGTATAATATTTATGGATTTGGCAAGGGTTTTTAAACGCATCACTCACCGAACTAAACAAGGCTCGTTACGGCCTTTGACAAGGGATTCTTGATCATACTTCTCTTTCTTCTTGGAAGGCCAAGTCGATTTTACAAACTTCATTCCGGCGTGTGTGTTTTTGATCTCACAATAAGGAGAGTCTGTTTCGATCATCATCCTCTCTACTGGTATTCCTTTCATTACATCAAGGTTCTCAGCTGTTTTTAACGAGCACCCGTTCACACCTACCAATAGAATCACATCAGCAAAACAAAGGACCAGAACGGTAATTCAAGATACTCTGAACATATGTGATCCTATAAAAGTCGAGGAGAGCTAAAGCCTACTATGGCATAGTTTTAAATGAAAAATTGTGGAAGTCTTTACCAAGGTACATTTGATCGAAAGCGAGAAGCTTATCGCGGTCCATAGCACTACCAGTAAATGAATGAGCAACTCCTCCAGTGAACCTGATAGTGAATCATGGTGTATATACTATGGTGAATAAACATGCAATCCAGGGAGTTTGTCTCAGCCTAACTTGAGAAAACATTAGCCCACATGTTCACCTGTTCTTGTTTCTCTCAACAATTTCACAGAAATCTTCAGCAGCTGCTCGCATGTGTAGGAACATCGGTAACTTTGTAGCATATGCAAGTTCAAATTGCTTCTCAAAATACCTTTCTCAAGCGGAAAAAACGTGGAAGATATTGTGAATAGAGAAAGAACAGAAAACAATTTGAACATGCGGAAAATACAATATTTAGGATCAAACTTACTTCTTCTGGATATCAACCGGGCAGAATTGAAGCCTATCATAATCCAATCCACATTCACCAATTGCTACCACCTTAATCAATCATACAGGACAAGTGTGTTCCGTAAATGGTTTCGATTGCTATCAACGCTAAAACGAAATGAAACCAAAATCAATTCGGAGTATCTACTAGATTAAAAGAATGAGCACCTTCCCTTTCTGGATTCCTTCTTTGGCTAATGAAAAAAGAGCCTGATAATGCTTCTCTGGATCGCCGCTCTCTTCAAACTCCTGATGTAACATTAAAACATGACATTAACGAACAACCAAGCACGAGATTAGCATTTTTTATTACAAGAACACTAAGTACAAAGGAAAGAGACATTAAGGTATAAAAAAAAAAACTGACATTGCATCTAGTTGGATGAACACCAACAGTGCAAAACAGCCTACCTGCAAAATGTAAATCGAAAATAAAAAACTTTTAAAAAGACCAAAATTTTCTGAGGATTAAACATCTCTAAAAAGGAAATAAAAATCAAACCATCAGTTTCTGCAATGGCAAGAGCTTCTCTTGATTCTTCAAGTGACCCACCAGTCACCTGTTCAAGAAAACTGGAGTTCGAATCACCCAAGTTCTACCATTTCCAATCATTCAACCAAAAACAATTGATAAGAATGACTCAACTATGATTCTATCGACTCCAGCAGACCAAGCCCGGTTCAAGACGGTGGCAATATCGGGAACATGACAGTTTTTGCCGTGGTATAGTCCCTTAAACATCCCATCTGTTTCAATTAGACAGTAAAACCGTATGGTCAGAACAATAATTTCATTAGAGAAGGATATGATCACAAAGTGTTTGTAGAAATGCCTCGACTAACCTGTGAAGTTAACGGCAATGTCTGATCTTACACAAACACATCACCAGGGGAAAAAAAAACGCAGAAGAAACAACAGATAAGTGAGACATAAATCCTCATACATTAGAATGAAGAGAATCAATGGAAGAAGTTTTTTCCAAATTTTGACTTGCCTATCATCTTCAACGACGCCATTGCGGAGGAGACAATGGCACAACGCAACACAGCACAGCCTTTTTTTTTATTCTTGTATTACTAATGGGCTTGTCCAACGGCCCATTTATCTAAGTCAATTTTGGTTGATATTTGACGGTCAAACTAAACTTTAGCTGATTGTGAAATGTGTGAATTACCAAAATGTAATTCATGGAAAATTTCATAATCAAACAAAAACAAATACTATATGTCCTGGTCGCATTATATATACAAAACCAACAAAAAAACATTACAAAAGATAATAATAATATATATAAAAAAAAAAAGACAATCTCAAAACATAGATAAGTCCATGCATAGACCGAGAAAAACCTCATAATAAAAAAGAATTAGCGAAGTAGCCGCCGGTTCACAGACGGAGGCGGTGGAGGCTGAGCTTGAACCGGAGTAGCTTGACGGGGAGAACTTCCACCTCCTCCACCACCATTACCGTTACTCTCCCAAGGCTTAACAGTAAACACAACAACCAACACCACAATAATAATCAAAAGCAAAATGGCAAAGCAAGTCCACTTGCGCGTGTTCTTCTGATAAAACCGCGCCTTGACAAGCCGGTCAGCACCGGACCGAACAAGGGAGTTAGCCCGTTTGACATTGCCTTCAATATCATCGAGCTGTTCACCCTGGTGAACAACCAACACAGCCATGTCGAGAAACACTTGGTGCAACTCGTTCAAGCTCTTCTCAATGTCTTTCACTGCGTCGTGCCTCTCTTGTATCTCGTTGATAGTGTCCAAAACCCTGCCACGTCCTTGCTCTTGTATCGCTTTCTGTAAAAATGTTTCACTCTCTCCTACAATTTTTAATTTATCTCATCAAAACCATGATTTAAACCAAAATTAAGTATCACAATTATAAACTACTAACATAAAAAAAAAAGTTAACAATTTATCGATAATTAACAACTTTGGCTATTTTTGTGCTCTTTAACGTTTAGATATAAATTTTGAAATAAAACAAAAAATAAAAATAGGAGAAAATGATCACCTGTGGAGATGAGACGATCGACGGTATCTTCGTCGGGATTTTCTCCGGTGACGGTGAAGTACCTTCTCTGAATCGTCTCTCTGTACTCAATCGAGATCGTCTCTCTCACTCGGTTAAAATTATCCATAGCATCTTTCAGCTTCTTCCTCAACCCGTTCACAACCGAAGTCCTTTGCCGGTCCGACGACGAACCCGGTCCACTATCCGGTAAACCCCGGTTCACTTCGTTAGCCCGATCCAACGCCTCGAGGTTCCCTTTCACGCGCTTCGCAGTCTTGAGCGAAGAAGACACGTCAGCGTCCATCTTCTCCTTTAACTCCTTCACCGCCTTAGCGTTGTGAAGCGTCTTGCTCTGCTCGTGGCTCGATCGGAGGTTGCGACAGAGACGATCCAGCTCTTTAAGGTCATCGTTCACTTCCTCCACGTCGTGGTAGAACTTGTCGAGATTTTTGCTTCCGCCGGAGTGTTTCGCCTTTGGCATCTCGATGCCGTGTGAGTGCGGCGGCGATGAATCGTCTGCGACGGAACGGTTGAACGAGCGGGAGAGAAGATCGTTCATGGCTGAAGAAAGTAAAGATACTACTAGAGATCTTCGAATTAACGAAAAATTTCAAAAGGAGTTAAGAAGAAAAAAAAAAGATCTTTGATCAAAATATTGTTGGTTACATGTGTCTCTTTTATATAGAGTTACCGAACATGTTAAGAAAAGTCCGATTATAACGCGGTTTTGAATTTAAAGGTTGCTGCTTTTGTCAATAAGGTTCACCTAACCGGGCTTTCTTTTGAGTGAACCGAAACACGTTTTTCTCTTTAACAACTCCATTTAACCGGAATATTTGGTTGGTTTAGCTAAACCACGTTGAGTACGAGACTTTATTATGTGTGCTGCTGACTCGGTCAAATTTCATGACCTAATCACGGAATAAACTACAATTTTTGCTGTTGCAATTTCTCGGTAGGGGTTTGGGATTATTTGAACCGGACGGTTTGGTTAACTTAACCAGGATAAGGCTATGAATGTGATGTATTGAAAAATTAAGGCAAAGTCGAAGATTTTAGAAATTCAGATTAATATTAGTCGCCGATGACAATTATGGCGGATGTTTGAATTCGTCGATGTCCATTTTCTTATCTTATAATGCTAATATATAGTTAATGACATGTTTCTTGTGATGTTGGGTTTTATATTATAATCTTTTTGTCCATCCATTTGGTAGTTTCTTTATCTTTTTCTTCATTATTTCTACGAAATAATAGTTTTTAAGTTACAGGTAAAACTCAACCCAAAACAAACCTGTTAAGTCAAATTGAATTAATCTTCTTTATTTTGTATCAACCACCTATATTTGCAAATAACATAGAAACTACAAGTATAAACGCAATGTGGCCATAAAAGTAACAAAAAAGTATAATATGTATGGCGTATTTATCCAATAAGAAGCCCAAACTGGCCCACTATAATCTCCGTAAAGCCCATCATACAATATTATACCGCCGAACGATTCGATTCCACCGACGCGAGAAAGGAAGACGACGACGCAGCGATGGGGAAAGCTTCGGGAGCGAAACAGGCGACTGTGGTGGTAGCAGCGTTAGCGTTCGGGTGGTTAGCCATAGAGATCGCTTTCAAGCCTTTCCTCGACAAATTCCGCTCCTCCATTGACCAATCTGACCCGTCCAAAGACCCTGATGACTTCGAATCCGACGCCGACGCCGCTACTACTAAGACCCCGTCCGACCAGAGTTTGTAAAATTAGGGTTTTATCAGATCAAATATAGTTTGCCGATTTCAATCTATAGCTGCTCCATTTCCTGTATTGATGAATCTTTGGGTTTTAATCTGTACCAAAGTTTGTTATTTTTGGAAACTTCTGCAATTACCTTGGATCTATGATTGTTCAATTTGCATAACGAGAAGCCTTAATATCTAACCAATACTTCATACATGGTCTGTTACACATTTTAAAAACTGTTGTATCTAGTTCCAAGGTAGAAGAAGACACTAGGAATCCACTAACCATGAACTGACTTCAAGAATGTTAAACGTGAACAATTGGTAGTTTGGTTTTATATGTTGAATCATACCTATATAGATGCTATAGTTAGAGGGAGACCAGACGACTATAACAATTTCAAAGAGTCGTGAAGATTTTAACTTTTGTAAGAAATATAGATGTATGATGTGTCATATTGATTGATCAAACATCAGTTGGTACGAAACAAAGAAAATACTAATGTTTGTCCTAACACCATTGTAATCTAACAGAGATGTACATGTTCACGTGAAAAGCTGTGATTTGCATTTTGTAATGTATCTGATCTACACCTGAGCTCAGACAATACAAAACAAAACAAAAACTATGTTTGTCCTACCACCTAATTAAATTAGTCAGTCTCCATCTATTTCTGAATGGTTGGTTTCACGATAACATACTTTTAGTAATCTCTCTCCTTAGAGTACTCAACATAAAAGTAAAATTACTGCAACTCAAATCTTTCGAACAAGTATTTTTTCCAGACCATAATTCTTAAACTACTATTTCACATCAATACCGGAGTCACAGGAGTTGCTCTTATTATCAAACTCCAAATCGACGGTACCTGAGAAGCAGAAACCAAGAGGGGCAAAGGGAGAGTCAGTTTCTTCAGAAAATTCAGAAACACAGAGACAAAAGAAAGATATTAACTTTGGAAGTGAATACCTAATTATATTAGTCATTCTCCATCTATTTCTGAGGCTTCTTCCACAAAACACCAATCTTCTTGAGCACATTCCCATTTTTCTTCTTTATCAATTCATCGTCAATATCCTCAGAGTAAGGGGAGTTCGTTTGGTTATAGTTCTCCGCGAATTTCCCGTTGTTTCCAGCAGAGAGCATGGCAGTAGCTGCTTCAGCAGCTTTTCTCCATTGGTTTGATTGAACTTTAAGCTTCCTGAGTTCCGTTTCCATTTCTGAGTTTGAAGCTTGAGTAGCCTCTAGTTGCTCGGTGACTCTAACTGCTCTCTTGCTACTCTTGTCAGCCTCTTCCATTGCAATCCCTAGCTTCATGAACGCGTCTTGAACATCTGTCTCTCTCTTCTCGATATCTGACTTCAATGTCTCATTCTCATCTGAAACGATCTGGAGTTCTGTCTCTTTATCCATCAAATCCGCCTTTGAATTCTCAATCACTTCCCTTAGTTTCTTCAGCTCAGTTTCAACATCTATTTCCTTCTCGTTCTTCATCAGTTTTAAGCATAGGTTATCTCTCTCCTCTGTTACAAACTGTAATTCTGTTTCCTTGTCCATCAACCTCGCCTTTAGCTCGTCTATCTCAGATTTAGCTATCTTTAGCTCAGATTGGAGTTCAGCTTGTATCCGTAACCGAGAAGAAGCCTCTACATTCCCCTCTTTGTCTTTTCGATCAGAAGCTTCTAGAGCCGCTCTCAGTCGCTCTACCTCACATCTTAAGGAAGATACTTCTTGTTCCATCTCATTTGATTCCCCACGTTTTAAACTTTCATAGTCTTTGAGCAGGGTTTCGTGGTTTTCCAAATCCTCTGGATTGGTCTGAAGTTTATTCACAAGAGCTTCAAGCCATGCCATCCTTGATTTCGACTGTTCAAGCTCCACCGCCATCTTCTTGTAACTTTCAACTGCCTTCGTGCCATCTGACTTCAGTTCTTCGACTGCCTTTTTCGCATTCTCCAATTGCCTAAGAGTTTCAGTGGCTAAAGCCTCGGTCTCAGCTTCTGATACCTCACAGTCCTTCAGTTGGTTCCTGAAATTCTCGACAAGGAAAAACGTGTCCATTAAGTCTCCTCTCAAAAGTTGTACCTCCGAGTTATGCAACTCAGCTTGTTTCACATGACCAGCTTCAGAAGTAGACAACATCTCAATCTGAAGCTTTAGTTGTCGGATCTCATGAGCAACAGCAGCCAATCCTGCTCTTTCACCAGTAGTAGCAGTAAACTGCAAATCACACTCCTGAGATATACCTTGATGAACAAGAGAACATGATTTATCGGTTTCTTCTTCCAAGGCTGAAACTTCCAAAAACTGATCCTGGTTCTCCTCAAGCTTAGAGGAAACTTCTTGCAGCTGTTTCCTGGACTTCTCTGCTTCTTGCTCTGCTTGCTTCTTTGATGTTTCAGACACTGTGACTTGATCTTTCGCCTTCTTTAACTCCTCCTGAAGATGTGATACTAGCGACTCTAGCTCCGTTATTCTACTCGGCCTCTTCTTCTGTTAGCCATGAAACATCATATAACAGTGTTACAATAATCTCAAGAAGAAGAAGAAGCAGACAATTGAGTTAAAATTAGTTACACTATCATCTCTCAACTACCCAAATTAAATGTTCCACCTAATTCTATATATCTTATAGGCCCCAAATTAAATGTATCCTAAATTTTTCCTCATCAAATTCAATACAGAAACATGTAATGTAGGAAAGGCTTATTTTGGATCATGCATATAAAAGGGATTTATGAAATGGAACGTTCAACTGACCCCAACAATGAATAAAACAATAGAAAGGAATCTTTCAAGATGCTTCTGATTCAGCTTAGTACTTGAGGCTCATACCTCAGAGACAGGGCTTCGTGGAGACCTACGATCCAGAACTTTTGGACTTTTAGCCTTTGGTGTTCTGTTATTAGTTGAGACAGGAGGTGAAGAGGATTCAGACTCTAGCGCTGCTATCTTCAGTGGCCGAGCAGCTCGAGGAGACACCTTCTTAGGAACATCTGGAGATCCATTTCTGCCCCAAAACCCAAAAGATATATTAAATTGTAAACCAAGATGATACCACACTCCAAAGTTACAAAATGAGCCAGAGAACGGAAAAAACTTCAACTTATAGAAACAAATCATTGAAGATTACAGAAAATTTCATGATATGATTTGATAAAATAGAAAGAAAAATGTTTTTGAGGACCACAAGAATGTAACCTTCAAGATTCAGCGTTGAAAAAGTGCAACAAGACGATCACAAAAAAAGGAGAAGAATCAGCTATAAATGCAAAGAACCATACAAAGACAAAAAACCAATATTTACCTTGCCTTTTGGGACTGCATAATGTAATCTTATTAATCCAATGGACAGGATGAAGAAAACCTTGTTTACAGAACTGATATTTTCAGCCTCCTCTTTGCTTCTTCAATGTAACCTGACCCACCAAGAATTGTATAGAGCTCAGGAATATTTAATGCACAAGGATGGAGACATATTTAAAAATCCAATGGCAGAGAGAAAACATGATAGGAGTTATTACAGAGAAAGATAAGCGTTAAAAAAAAATCATTTCTTTACGTCTATAACCAAATCTACTACCAGAAAAATAAACATCCTAAAGAAGAAACAAAATCTTTTAGTTCATCTCTTACTAGTGTCTTATGTCAGACATAGAGATTCGTTGGATTGTGCATTACCTGCTGCAAAACCACATTAAATTAAGGGCATGCCCTCATGTTTATGATTATTGATCAAACATCTGATTTCATTTAAAAAAGTATGGTTCTTTTTCGTGTAAGACCGTTCTACTCAACCATATCTGCTCACTCTAAGCTCTGGAACACCACACAAAAACTTGGTTCTTTAATATTTCACTCATTAGAGAATACAATATTTTTAAAATGGGACAGACACAATCAAAGTCACATCACAGGTATATCGGAAGCATATTGCCAAAAAGATGATTTCGAAGACAGTATTAGCTGAGGTTTTTTGTTCTGAATGTATCCAATAAACCCAAAAAAGAGAAAGAAAGAACCAACTTATACCTTCAAATTGCAACTATAGATGCTAAACTACACAAGGTGTTTGACTATAAAGTAACATAAAAAACGAATCTTTAATTGTTGCCTCTTGACTATGTAATGGTTCACAACCTATCATCATGAAGGCTGGTAACAAAGGTCCCTACACAAACTACACAAGCAGCATAATGTGGTTAGATTTACTCTAATGTCCCCACCAGATTCACCCTCCTAAATGGGACACACGAGGGTTATACTGTCATTTTTCTAGACCATGTTCCATCTTCTCCTTCATTATTGCCGTGCAAGGAGGGGACTTAGACGTTAAAGAACTACTACTATCATGAATCATAATGGCTTTAAACAGATAAATACCCACTAAGAGACGAGAGAATCAGAAATCTATAAGGTTTCATAGATAAACTTTTCCAGAAAAAAGGAGAATCCAATTAGTAAAACCACTTGAGTGCAGTGATCATGTTAATAAAGGTAAGCATGAGCAAACAATCACAGTGAAGCAGAGGAAAAAAGGAAAAAACTTCAACATCTAACCTTAAAAGCTACTAAAAACAAAGGAAAAAAGACTTCTTTTATTTATTTAATCAGACCAGATATGAAGTGATGTAATGCAAGATTAAACTATCCCAACATCTTGCTTCAAAAGTAAATTAAAAGCTAAAATAATAAAAACACACACAATAAATTAGAGAAGAAGAAAGAAAAAAGAAAAGAGACATTTTGATGCCCAATATTAAATTTCTTCAAGTTAACAAAAACTAGAAGTATTTTTACTTGTGATTACTAAAGATTAATGAGGAGGTAACCAAAAAGACTTGAGCTTTTTGAAAGGCAAAATGCGAAGCGGAATATGCAAAAGAGGTGACAAAAAGGGTCGAAAAATCATAACTTTTTTCTCTCAGAAAAACAAAAGACACAACATTTTTCCAGGGAACAGTGTAGTAAGTAGCTGATAAAAGTGTTTTCATGAAAAAAATTAATCAAGAGAACCAAATTCAAAGTAGAGCTCCTTACGCTGCTGCGAGGAGGGTTCGTTCGTGCTTGAAGAAAGGTTTCCTTTTTTATGTTTTGGGTAGAGAAGAAGAAAATGGGAAGAGAGATTTTGAGAAGCAAAACCAAAGTTGCAGATTCCAAGGGAAACAGTGTGTGTGAGAAAGAGAGAGAGAAAGGAGAGTGGGTAATGGTGTGTTGTGGCTTTGGGCAGTGAGTCTGAGCGCAAGATAGAAAAGAGAAAGAGAGAGAGAGAGAGAAGGGAACAAAAGGTTATTCCAAAACGCAGCACGACAAACGTACTCCTTTGTCGTTTTGATGATTGTGTTTTTGATTTTTGAATTTTGATTTCCGGTTTTAGACAATTTCCAATGTCCAAAAAAACAAACCCGGGAATCTTTTCTACACCACTTTGAGTTCAGCTATTCTGATTTATCATTCAATTATTTCTCAACAATCTGAGTATTTGATTATCCTTTTTATTTGCCAAAATGTATGACTCCATTGTTTCCTCTGTATAAAATTATAAAGTATCAATCAATAAAATCAAACAAGCAAAAAAAAAACATATACAATAATCCTAATTCGTAACACATTCAGACTTCTAGTATTATTATTTTTAGTTTCTTTTGGTCAATTGGTACAATATTCTGACTTCATATTCCTTTTGTTCACTGTTAAGTGTTCAACATGTTTATTATTTGTACACCATAAATCAAGAGTCTGGCTTATTAAATGGGCCATCATCTTGAATTAAAAGGGCCATAAGTTATATAGCTCATTCATATTCTTTACTAAGCCCACCCCATTTAACAATTTAAATTTAATACTAGGATTATAGACTCTATATTTTTCATCAAAGGCGTGCTAATAGAGTGCAAGTGCAATGCCCGGATTTTAAGAAGTTGGTAGGATTGAGAAGACTTGATGATAGTGATTAGTGTGTGGTCGGTCGGGTAACACTTTTCATAAAGCAGCTAAAGGCATTCACTTTTTATCGTTAACTGTATTTTGTTGTCCCATTCCATCTAATTCATAAAATTATCTGTTATTTTACGGTTACATTTGTTCAAACATGACTCTTTTTTACAATATATTTCCCTCAACTTAATAGATATAGACAGACAGTAGCACTACTACACACTCTAGACTAAATCACATGTATAAACACACTTTCAGTTCAGAACCATCTAGTCAAAGTAGCAAAAAAAAAAAGAACTAGTTAACCGTCACTCAGCCACGTGTCATAATCAGACAACAAGAGCATGTCCATTGATGTAATTCACATTTCATCATCACCGCTATTATTTCATCAACACCACCAAAACAAAACAATAAACAGAATCACACAAGAAAGAAACAGAGCAACACAAGGAGGAGACATGAGATCGAGTAATAACCTTATAGGTCTGGTGAACTTCTTCACTTTCCTCCTCTCGATTCCGATCCTCGGCGGTGGAATATGGCTGAGCAACCGAGCTAACTCAACCGACTGCCTCAGGTTCCTCCAGTGGCCACTCATCGTCATCGGCATCTCTATCATGGTCGTCTCTTTAGCCGGAATGGCCGGAGCTTGTTACCAGAACAAGTTCCTCATGTGGCTTTACCTTTTCGCCATGTTCTTCGTCATCGCTGCTCTCATCGCTTTCATCATCTTCGCTTACGCTGTCACTGATAAAGGCTCTGGCCGTTTCGTCATGAACCGTCGCTATCTTGATTATTATCTCCCTGATTACTCCGGTTGGTTGAAGGATCGTGTCACTGATAATGGATACTGGACTGGTATCAGATCCTGTGTTAGAGACTCTGGTGTTTGTAAGAAGATTGCAAGAGACTTAAATGGTGTTCCAGAAACTCCTCAGATGTTTTACTTCAGAAAGCTCACTCCGGTTGAGGTATTTACATTTATTTCGATATTTCGAATTTAGTAGCCTAGTATAGTTTGAACCTTAATATGACATGTAGCTGTTTTAAAATCTGTAGTCGGGATGTTGCAAGCCGCCAACAGATTGTGGATATACGTACGTGAACGAGACAGTTTGGATTCCAGGAGGGGGAATGGTTGGACCGAATCCGGACTGTATGTTGTGGAACAATGACCAGAGAGTACTCTGTTACCAATGTAACTCTTGTAAAGCTGGTGTTCTTGGTAGCTTGAAAAAGAGTTGGAGAAAAGTATCAGTGATCAACATTGTGGTTTTGATCATACTTGTCATCTTCTATGTCATCGCCTATGCGGCTTACCGGAATCTTAAGAGGATTGATAATGAAGAACCGGCCGGTGAGGCAAGGATGACCAAATCTCATCCTAGTCATTTTCACATTTGATGACATCTTTAGTAAGTTTAGTATAGTTTTTCTTCGGTGTCGTGTCTCTATTACTATGTTATGGTTTAAGTTGGTGTAATGGTTGCTTTTTTATAATTTTCGTGTTGTTTTCCTTGGAGATGTTACATTACATATGCATGATGATGATGATAACTTTTGTAGATTTTTGTGTTGCAACATATGTTATACATCTTGAACAAGAAGAAAATAAAATTTCAATTGATACGTAAAATTCAAGCCAGTACAACTGAGTTACGCGGGAATGGTTGGTTCGTCAAAGGTTTTTCAAATTACTCAACAGAGGGGTGACATTTGGTTTTGAATTTGTGGTTTCATCTTCACGACTAAGTTGTGGACTCCACCTACTTATTGTCTGTTCCTCCACTGTGAAGTTCTCCAAACACACAGGTAGATTCAAGTCCTCTCCTTTGAAGTAACCATTGACATAGAGAGTCAACAACGTTTTCGCAACACTTCCGCTTAACCGAACAGCGCAATGGATATCCGACCACACTATTAATCGATCACTGTCACCAGACTGAACCAAAACCGAGTACTCAGAGTGGACAAGAGATGGATGGTGACGGTATGCCACGAAATCCACACCGTACTGCAGCCCTGATCTCAAAACCCAGTTCTTGGATCGTAGATGTGAATAAGCTTTGTAAAAGATTGGGAAGTTTGGTCTTTTTGATTTCATATACGTCCATGTGTCAACTTCATCCTCCAAGTAACGACCTTTAAGAGAGATTTTGATGCATTTGAGACTGTAGAACAAAAAGAAAGCTTCTTCAAAAGATAACTGAATCCATTTCTTCGCTTTCTCAGCAGATAAAACGAGTCTGCCAAAACAACAACGGTCGAGAAGCTCAGCTTGTTCCGGCTCAACAGCTAGAAGCACATTGCTACTCGAGAGGGTACCAGAGGACTCTGTTTTGGATAGAGAAAGCTGGAGCTCTGTAACTGATTTTGAAATAGGTTCTGCAAGAGCTTTTGCTTCAGCACCTTTCCATTTCCATCTCGGCGCCATTGGAACTGAACTGCATACACAGAATTAAAAATCAAACCTTTTGACCATAAAGATATTGTAATTGCTTTTACTTTATTACTAACTACAACTCTTAGTCTAGGAACTGGATTGAGCAAAACAAAACCAAGAAAGAAGAAAACGTCAGAACCAAAAATACAAGTCAACAATCATCTATAAGTCACAACATATTCATCAACAAACCACCAAAACCTCAGCTCAATATAATCCAAAAGCAAACAGATCTATTGAAACGAGAATCAACATCATCATCTAAAGTTTATACCAAATCTAATGAGCATCGTCAGAAAAAACTAAGACAACATCCAAAATCGATGTCAAGCAACGAAACGAACAGAGTAAGAGCAGATCACCTAGATTATACGATACAACAATATTCGTAAACACACTCGTATCTGGTTGAACCAGTACTTCCTTTCCGCCGTTCCTAGGGACGATCTACAAATAAAAACCAGACCGCCGGCTCCTTGTGTTTCTAGTATTACCAATTTGCCCTTATGCGTTTTGGGCCTCTCTTTTTTTTTTTTTTTTTTTTTTCTTTTCTTTGTGATAACTGATAAACAAGTAAAATGTAAAATTCTCTTTTCTACTTTTATGTGATTAAAAACCTTAGTGTAAAAATAAAACCGATGACTTCGAGTCCGACGCCGCCGCCGCTACTAAGACCCCGTCCGACGAGTTTTTGTTAAATTAAAGCTTTTTATCAGATTTATAGAGATGATTTCAAATCTATATCTGCTCCATTTCGTGCAATGATGAATCTTTGGGTACCAAATAAATCTCTAAACAGCTCCATTACTCATTGGCCTTATATTTTTTTTGGAAATTTCTGCTATATGTTGACTCTGATTGTTCAATTTGCATAACGAGAAGCCTTTAATCTATTAACCAATAGTTTCACGCTGAACCAATCAAGGTAGAAGAAGAGACTAAAGCCTTTCTTGACTGATTTTCAAGAACGGTAAAAGTGACATTTGCTAGATTGGTTTTAGCTTCTGATACAGTCAGAGGGTGACGACTATAAACTTCAAAAGGTCGTGGACTTTTGAACTTTTGTAAGACATATATATGTGTTAGATTGATTGATCAACATCAACATCAACATCATTTAGTACAAAACAAAGAAAATATATTAATTTTTGTCCTAACACCATTGTAATTTAACATAGATGTATATGTTCTCGAAAAAAAAAGCTATGATTTGCAAATGTATCTGATCTACACCGAGCTCAGACAATGATAAGAAGACATCATTTGGTACAAAACAGAAAAACTATGTTTGTCCTAACATCTTTGTAGTTAACATAGATGTATAAAAGGCTACATAGATGTATATATGTTCTTGTAAAAAGCTTTGATTTGCATTTTGGAATGTACCTGATCTACACTTAGCACAAACAATGATAAAGGACAATGATGGAGCTTTCACTGTTTTTTTTCTTCATAATTGTATTTCATAAACCTTCTATAAAACCCGGAAAATTACATGATTGATTTAGATAATCTCTCTTCAATGATCATTATCAGGTTTTGATATTAAGAGTTCAGATGATATCTTTCATCGTGAGCATTTGTCTATGCAAGAGTTTTCAATAATGCTTAATTAAGTCTTAATATGGTTTATCTGCTAATGCCTCGAACCGTTTTCTTTTATGATGATAACTGGCCCAATTCATACTCCAGCTTTTCATGCAGTAAATTACTAAAATCATAACAAGGAAACAAGGACCTATATTAAAAGTCTCCTCAAGTCATGGTGAGTGATCTAAAACATTTTACCCCAAAAATACTTCAATGTCTCGGTCAATATCGTTTGATTTATCTTTAAGTTTCCATGAAAGATGATAGGCTCTTACCAGAAATTCACTCCGTATCAACACATTAATTTTTTTTGTTCTTCCGTTTTTCAGTCTATGCTTAAGTCTGAAGTTCAGACTCTGAACCATTCAGATTTACATAGATTATATGATTCTCATATTCTATTCTACTTTTGTCCCTCTAGCAAGTAGCCATCTAAAATAACATAATGGACATACCACTATTTATTTATTTTAATTGAATAATATGTTTATTTTTTAAATAGAAAACGAAAGATCTTGCGAAACGGATCAAATAAATAATACTATGCATATGAAAAGAAATTGCATTAGAGTTTGTTACATTAGTTTACCATCTTTTGAATGTGTATTTTCAATTTAGTGTACAAATATTATATTTGTGACCCGTAACATCCTTATGCATGACCAATGTCAGTTGAGCCTGCTTCATCTCTGTCACCATCTCAATCTTTTATATATCTAAATGGATTAATCATGGAAGGGAAAAGCCACGAAAGAAACATATAACAATCCGAGAAGAAACATTATCTTTTTACAACTCTCTCTCGTCGAATCCTATCATGGAAGAATGTCGATTCGAGACCAGTGAGTTACAAGCATCTTTCATGTCGTCCACTCCGTTGTTCACCGATTCTTGGAGTTTATGCAACGTTGCGAATTGCGACGGGAGTATAAAGATCCAGGACATAGACAGGATCACGTACGTTGCTGTACCCGCGGTGTCGATGACTCAGCTGGGGGATCTTGTGGGGTTGAATGTCGCCGGAGATGGATTTTTCCCCGGCTTAGCCTCCGAGGAGCCTCTTCCGCCTATGCTTGACGCTTCCATACTCAACCTCTTCCGTGAGTTAAAGGTTTGTTTGCTTTGTTCTATCTTTTTATGCAATCTTTTTTTTACTTGCTTATTAACTTTCAATTAATACTTTACAAGTTGACAATCAAAATACAATTAAATGCTATTGTGTCAAATTCTATGACAAAGTAAATGCCATCATAGACAATTATTCGTTTGGATTTGTGAAAAAGAAAAGATTGAATTTTCTTCAACGTCATGTATACCTCAATTTCATGGTGGAGTAAGGAGATGACCATATCAATATCTTATTAACGTTTTTCTTTTAATATATCTCAGTCTTAATAATGAGTTTGTCAACTAGATATAAGTGTTTTAATTATTGTTTATCACCAACCAACCAAGTTGAATTTTGGTTTGAATATACTCCCACGTCATTCCGCCCAAGTGATTTATCAAGTAAGTCGATGTTCTTTAATGTCTGCGCTCAAAAAGTTTTTGACCCATGATGTATGTGCCAGCCATCATTTGTTTTTATTTTGTCATTATAAGGATTTGAAGATCTTGAATAAAAACAAGTTGCTATTACTATTGATGAGTAGCAAATCCTTATAATGAAAAAATAAAAAACAAATTACTCTTTTTTGATCAAAAAATAAATTACTCTGTAACTCTATATATACGTGATTTTACAATGTTGACTAGGCTACATAATCAGTTAGTTACCACAGTATCGATTGAATTAACGTGCAGATCAAACCAGGATTGAAATTAAAACTGGTAGGAAAGAAGCTGGTGGTGATAACCGGCCATTCAACCGGCGGCGCATTAGCCGCTCTCACCGCACTTTGGCTTCTCTCTCAACCTTCTCCGCCGTCATTCCGCCTCATATGCATCACCTTTGGCTCTCCTTTACTCGGAAACCAATCTCTTTCCACCTCAATCTCACGATCACGTTTAGCACACAACTTCTGCCACGTGGTCTCCATCCACGACCACGTTCCTAGGAGCAGCAATGAACTATTCTGGCCCTTTGGAACCTATCTTTTCTGTTCTGACAATGGAGGTGTCTGTCTAGACAATGTTGATTCCGTTCGTAGGATGTTTCAAGTGCTCAACGCCACGGTAACTCCAAATATCGAGGAACATCAAAGGTATGAACACTATGTGTTCACGCTTTCTCACATGTTTCTTAAGTCTAGAAGCTTTCTTGATGGGAATATACCCGAAAATAGCTATGAAGCTGGACTTGCGTTAGCTGTTGAAGCTCTAGGATTCGCTAGTGATGACCAAAGTAGTGTATTAGTCAAGGAATGTATTGAAAGGGCTACAAGAATAGGTCGAGCTCCGATTCTGAGATCGGTTGAGTTATCTAATGAGCTTGCTAATGTCTTGCCAGCAAGACTCGAGATTCAATGGTACAAAGACCGTTGCGACGCATCACAAGAGCAGCTAGGTTACTACGATTGCTTCAAACGTTATTCGTTGAAAAGAGACTATAAGGTGAACATGAGTCGCAAGAGACTAGCTATGTTTTGGGACAGAGTGCTTGAGATGGTGGAGACCAATGAATTGCCTTTTGATATTCATCTATGGAAGAAATGGATTTACGCATCTCAGTTTTATCAACTCTTAGCTGAGCCACTCGACATTGCGAATTTCTACAAAAACAGAGATATACAGAGTGGTGGACATTACTTGGATCAGGGGAATAGACCCAAAAGGTATGAGGTAATTGATAAATGGTGGAAAAGAGCTAGAGAGCCTGAGAAGTGTGTGAGAAGCACATACGCTACAGCTACGCAAGATACTTGCTTTTGGGCTAAGCTTGAGGAAGCAAAGGAGTGGTTGAATGAGGTGAAAAGAGAGGGTAGTGATGCGGAGAGAAGAGCTTTGTTATGGGAAAAGATTGTCCGGTTCGAGAGTTACGCGAATAAATTGGAGAAGAAAAAGGAGGTTTCTGTGGATGTTTTGGCTATTAACTCGAGTTACAAAGTGTGGGTGAGGAATCTAAAAGAGTTCAAGTTGAAAATGGATTATGGAAATAGAAGTGAGATGGTTATTGATGAGAGTGACGCTATGGAGACGTAGTAGGATTAACAGCATATCTAATGTTTGATATGCTATATATATATATATATATATAACAATCTGTAACATTGTTGTTGTTCATGGTTTATTGCATATATGTTACTATTCTAAAACCATCGTTGTCTTTAATTAATGTTCAACAAGTTTCTGCAATATTTTCTAATGTAAAGCCATGGGTTTTTTTTTAAAAAACTTTTGTAAGGCATATAAATGTCTCAGATTGATTGATCAACATCATTTAGTACAAAACAGAGAAAAATACTAATGTTTGCCCGAATATCTTTGTAGTTAACAGAGATGTATATGTTCTCGTAAAAGGGCTATGATTTGCACTTTGTAATGTATCTGATGTACACCGAGCTCAAACAATGAAAAAAGACATCATTTGTTACAAAACAAAACAATGTTTGTCCTAACACCTTTGTAGTTAACATAGATGTATATGTTCTTGTGAAAAGCTTTGTTTGCATTTTGTAATGCATCTGTTTTACACCGAGCTCAAACAATGATAAAAGGACAGTGATGGAGCTTTCACTATTTTTCTTCGTAATTTGATTTCATAAACCTTCTATCAAACCCGAAAATTATATAATTTATTTAGATAGTAACTCTCTTCAGTTATCATTATCAGGTTTGATATTTTCCTTGACATGAAGTGTTTTGATGATCTCTTTCATCTTACCATTTCTTTATTGTCATATTCGTTTTATAATCGCAAGCGACTGCGACACTGCGATTATAAATCACGGGATGTTATTCGTTTCATAATCGCGCAACTAATGACAATTAAAACAGTTGCATCGCTGTTTTTTCTTGCGATCAAAATTTTTAATCGCAGGATCTTGCGATTGATCGCAGCGACTAGTCGCATGACCCTGTGATTACAAAACAAACAACTTTCAGTCGCAATCGCATGCTCCTGCGACTGCGAAACGAACAACACCTATGTTCACTGGGAGTTTGTAAACTAGTTTCTCTCTAATAAAAAACCAAAAATTAAATCAATAATGAAAATTAATCTAAGGTCATGTATCTTAGTTAAAATATTTTGAGATTGTTTCTTAGTGTTATGTGACATATGAGTGGTTTGAGTTTAAGAAAAAATAAATTAAAATATAATTATATTATATGTTTTTATTATGTTTTTATATTATGTGTGTTACAAGTTTTATAAAATTTAATAATTTTCTTGTTTAATAAAATTATATTTTTCAATTCTTTTTTAAGAACTCCAATGAAAATTTTACCATTGGAGATAGATCATTTTTTTAAATCTTATTTTTGAAAAATGCTCAATTTACTATTAAAAATCACTAAAAACTATAAATAAAAAACTCCATTCCACATGCTCTTATGCTTGATGAAGTCTTAATCACCATTCACCAGGTATATCTTCCAATGCCTCGAATCATTACTTTTAATGCTAAAACGATAATTGCCGCCCCATTTCATACTCTAGCTTTTCCACACATAAAATCCCAAACAGTGATTAAAAAGATGAGATGGATCTATCACTGCAAATTTTTTTTAATTTTTTTTTTTTGGAATGAAATATAAATCTTTTCAATTTTCATGAAGTAAATTACTAAAATCATAACAAGAGGGAGGAGACCACAGGTCCACAACAATTGCAAGTACTCGGACCTCCTCAAGTCACTGTGAGTCTAAAACTAAATGACTAAAACATCTTACGCCAAAAAGACTTATTTATCAGTAAGTTGCAAAGTCACTTATTAGTATTAAAACTTGAAATTTCCTTTCCATTTTCCAATCTATTTTTAACTCTGAACCATTCAGGTATTACACTGGAAAATGCGTTGATTCTCTTTTTGTATATTTACTTTTGTCCTTTAGCTCAAAACATTGATTTTAAAAATTATAATGGACCTGCCTTTCAGTCAAGTCCATTATAAAAAGAGACTTTTAGCGAGAGGAGTCGTCGAATTAGCTTCCTAGAAATTACATAGGAAAGAGCCACAAGAGTATCAAGGTTGCAGATAAAAATAAAATACTCTGTTTTTTCCCAGGAAAATACTATGTTTTTTCTTCGGAATTCTAAAAATAAACAATCCGATTGCTAAAACGTAATCTTTCTGCAACTCTCGTTTATATGGGCAATCCAATCATAGAAGAATGTAGATTCGAGTAATCTTTCAGCAACTCTCGCTATTAGCAATCAATACATGGAAGAATGTAGATTCGAGTCGAGTGAGTTACAAGCATCTCTTATGGCGTCCACTCCGTTGCTCACCGATTCTTGGAGTTTATGCAACGCCGCCAACTGCGACGGCGGTTTAAAGATCCAGGGCATAGACAGAATCACCTACGTTGCTGTGCCGGCGGTGCCGTTGACTCAGCTGGGGAATCTTGTGGGTTTGGATGTCTCCCCAGATGGGCTTTTCCCCGGCTTAGCCTCTGAGGAGCCTCTTCCGCCTATGCTTGACGCTTTCATACTCAACCTCTTCCTTCAATTAAAGGTTTGTTTTCTTTTTATGCTATCTTTTTTACTACTGTGTTTTTAGAAATCAATATACCTAAAATATGACCCTCTAATAAAAAGAAAAAATGAAATCAAAATACAATTAAATGTGATTGTGACTAATATTTCTAACACAAAGGGAAAAATTAAAATTACTATACTACTTTTTTTTTTTTCGTAACAATTATACTACTTATTATTCGTCTGATTTTTAAGAGATAGTTTAATTACATATTTCATAGTGGATTAATGAGTTTGCAAACCACATAAGTGTTTTTTTTTTTTTCCGTGAAATACGCTGTAGCCAAGAAACAGTTTTAAGATACTAGATAAATACATAAAGAGATGTTTTTCTTATAAAAATCCTAAAAAGACTAGTTGATACAATTATTCCACCTTTAAAAATATCATAATCTGTACATTGTCATGAGTCATTATCTCGGAAAGCATGCTTAAACAAGCCAAGTTGTCGACAAAAAAAAAAAACAAAAAAAAAAAACAAGCCAAGTTGAATTTTTGTTTGCATGCCATCACGTCCGTCTGCTCAAGTGATTATAAAGTACTAATTAATTAAGGGCATGTACCAATTTTTCTATGCAATAAACTAAACTATTTCTAGTTTTATCCCATACTTTTACCTTCCGCCCAGTTCACCAACTACCAACTATAGATATTATTATTTTATCCAATTTATAAGAACAAATTACTCTCAGTTAACCAAATTTAATTAATTTCGATTTAACATCATAAAATCAAGTTCACAATTATTAAAATTTTGATCCCAAACCAATCTTCAAGCCTAATTGCAACCTTCTATTCATCATAGAGATTTTGATTTCCTCAGAAGAAAAATCAATTTAGAATAAATTATTCTTATCGCAAAATTATAAACGTAATTTTAAATTACAGTTAAAAATAATAATTAGATTTTGTTAATTAAGAAGAATTTTATAGATTATATTGAATTATGAACGCTATATTCTTTTATTTTAAACAGGTCTTTTATTAATAAGACACCCACCAAATAGGTTAGATCTCAAGAAACAAACAATTAAAACAGACCCGCCATAGACTTCCTGGAACGGAAAGTCCGTTAATTAATGGTTAAGTTAAGTGAATATGTTAATGGTAGCTTAATATCTATGCTTAACACACCTGTCGAAGTTCTGTGTGCTTATAAAGTTTTGCGAAATTGCATAAATACCACTAAATTAATATTTTTCCAAAATTTTCATTATGATTTTTATTTTTTATAAATACTACTAAACTAATTTTTTCCAAAAATAACATATAACTAAAACTATACTTTTTAACATTAAAAACTAATTTCAAAATCCCAAAACACTAATCTTTACTCCTAAAAATTGTATTTTAAATATAAATAGTTAATCCAAACATTAAAAAATTGGTTCTACACTTTCGAAAATCAATCTTTATGTTTATGGCTTTTTTGGGAAAAAAAAAAACAAATTGTGATATTTTTAGAAATAAAAAGCTTAAAATGTGATATTTTGGAAGAAATTACTCTAAAGTTTTTAAACCATAGCTATGTGTGGCCATATCGAAAAGCTTTTTTCATCCAATACTTTAGTTTTTGTTTTGTCTTAATAAGCAAGGATACGAAGATTTTGAATACTAGCAAAACAAGAACTTATCGTAAGTGGAATTTGTTTGTATATAATTTAAGTTGAAAAATGGTATATTAGCAAATTACTCTCTAAATCTATATGTGATTTTATAAGATTGACTAAGGGTATGATCAGTTTCGTTTTTGTTAATCTTAATTAACCAACTAATTTACCACAATATCGATTGAATTAACGTAGATGCAGATTGAAGAAGGATTGGTAGGAAAACAGCTGGTGGTGATAACCGGCCATTCAACCGGCGGCGCATTAGCCGCTCTCACCGCACTTTGGCTTCTCTCTAAACCTTCTCCGCCGTCATTCCGCCTCATATGCATCACCTTTGGCTCTCCTCTATTCGGAAACCAATCTCTTTCCACCTCAATCTCACGATCACGTTTAGCGCACAACTTCTGCCACGTGGTCTCCATCCACGACCACGTTCCTAGGAGCAGCAATGAACAGTTATGGCCCTTTGGAACCTATCTTTTCTGTTCTGACAATGGAGGTGTCTGTCTAGACAATGTTGATTCCGTTCGTAGGATGTTTCAAGTGCTCAACGCCACGGGAACTCCACATACCGATGAACATCAAAGGTACGGATACTATGTGTCAATACTCTGTCACATGTTTCTTGAATCTAGAAGCTCTCTTGTTGGGAACATACCTGACAATAGCTATGAAGCTGGAGTTGCGTTAGCCGTTGAAGCTCTAGGATTCACTTGTGATGACCAAACAGGTGTATCAGTGAAGGAATGTATTGAAAGAGCTACAAGGATTGGTCGAGATCCGATTCTGAGATCGGCTGAGTTAGCTAATGACCTTGCTTATGTCTTGCCAGCAAGGTTAGAGATTCAATGGTACAAAGACCGTTGCGACGCATCACAAGAGCAGCTAGGTTACTACGATTTCTTCAAACGTTATTCATTGAAAAGAGACTATAAGGTGAACATGAGTCGCATGAGGCTAGCTAAGTTTTGGGACAGAGTGTTTGAAATGGTGGAGACCAATGAATTGCCTTTTGATTTTCATCTAGGGAAGAAATGGATTTACGCATCTCAATTTTATCAACTCTTAGCTGAGCCACTCGACATTGCGAATTTCTACAAAAACAGAGATATAAAGAGTGGTGGACATTACTTGGATCAGGGGAATAGACCCAAAAGGTATGTGGTGATTGATAAATGGTGGAAAAAAGGTGGAGAGCCTGAGGAGTGTGTGAGAAGCAGATACACTAGCGCTACGCAAGATACTTGCTTTTGGGCTAAGCTTGAGCAAGCAAAGGAGTGGTTGGATGAGATGACAAGAGAGAGTAGTGATGCGCAGAGCAGAGACTTGTTATGGAAAAACATTCTCGAGTTCGAAAGTTATGCGAATAAATTGAAGAAGAAAAAGGAGGTTTCTGTGGATGTTTTGGCTATTAACTCGAGTTACAAAGTGTGGGAGAGGAATCTAGAAGAGTTTAAGTTGAAAATGGGTTTTGGAAATGGAAGCGAGATGGTTGATGGTGAGAGTGACGCTATGGAGACTTAGTAGGAATAATAGCATATCTAATGTTTGATAGTGTTGGGGGGGAGCTAATCGTTATGAAATTTACCAACCACCGTAAAATTCCTCAATCTGTATCATTGTTATTCATGTTTTGTTGCAAGACTTTTCTCATTTTATTTTAATTTTTTTTTTTGTAAAACGACTTTTCTCATTTATGTTACCACTGTAAAACCATCTTTATCGTTAAAATAATGTTCAACAAGTTTTGTAAATTTATTACTTTAAAACCAACATGTAGTAGTATAGTGTGATGGTGATCTAATTTCTGCATACTGTATATAGTATATGGTATAAGCTAATTTTTAGGAATGTTTTATTAATATACATAGATATATAAACGTAAGACCTACATAGGATTCTTGGAGATCGCCATCATTCACATGATCCAAGAAGCTCTTTACCCCATTCAGATTTTCCTTTCCAAGCCTCCTTCTTTCGTGGGTAAACTAATTGAAATTAATACAAGTCAAATTACAAGTATACAAATAGAGACAGTCCTTGTTCTTCAAAACTTGTGCTTTCTTGTTTCACCCTCCTCGTTTCATATTTCTATTCGCGGATCGTTACGCATACCTTTCATACCACTTTCATACTATATATAATATGCACTCTATATGATCCGTCTACTTACAAGTTCTGATCCTTAACGGCTTTGACTAAAATCTTCATCGTCTGTCTCAATAGAAAAATGTTTCATATTACTCATTACTGATATAAACATTTTAATTTTTTTTAAAGTGATTTTACCTTCTACATAAGTCGACAAAAGAGAAGACATATAGTAATCGTGCAGTCTCCATTAACTAAGCCGTACAAATAGCTCAATGTACACAAATAACCCATCTCTCCAAAGAGGCCATAGGCTTCTTAGTTCGCTTCGAAACAATCTCCAAGACGATCTATTAATTAACCATTTTCTTTTTTCATATCTTATTATGAGAAAACTATATAATGCTAGTATTTTAGTATATATCAAAGATTCAAAACCCTTAACCCTGTCTCCCCCAAGAAGCAACAGTGAGTGCAGCCTTACGAGGCATTTGCTCCCCCCACACTTCCTCCACTCTCCAGCGCCCACGTGTTACACCCTCTCCACATTGCACAAACTCACACACACACATTCATGCATGCGTATATAACTCATTCTTCCTGTGAGATAGGGAGAGTGGAAGAGAGAAAGATATGGAGAGAACAGAGGTCATGACGTCATCGTTCATATGGCGGCCAAACGCAAACGCAAACGCGGAGATAACTCCGAGCTGTCCAAGATGTGGATCATCCAACACAAAGTTCTGTTACTACAACAACTATAGCCTCACTCAGCCTCGATACTTCTGCAAAGGCTGCCGCAGATATTGGACCAAAGGTGGCTCCCTCCGCAATGTTCCTGTTGGTGGTGGCTGTCGCAAGTCCCGCCGCCCCAAATCATCCTCTGGTAACAACACTAAAACCGGCATAGCCGCTAACTCTGGCAGCTCAGGTGGTGGTTCACCTAGCATCGATCTTGCTCTTGTTTACGCCAACTTCTTGAACCCAAAGTCTGACGAATCTATACCACAAGAAAACTGCGATTTAGCCACAGTGGTCACTACTGAATTTCTGGTCGATAATCCTACCGGCACTTCGATGGACCCTTCATGGAGTATGGACATCAATGACGGTCATCATTATAATAATCAGGTGGAACACATTGTGGATGAATGTGGTTATAATAATGGTTTGCCTCCGTTTCCTGGTGAAGAGCTTCTCTCTTTAGACACTAATGTTGTTTGGTCTGATGCTTTGTTGATTGGTCATAACCACGTAGACGTTGGTGTGGCTCCGGCTCAGGCTGTGCACGAACCGGTAGCTCATTTCGCTGATGAATCAAACGATTCCACCAACCTATTGTTCGGAAGTTGGAGCCCTTTTGATTTCTCAGCCGATGGATGATCCTTATATATATGGATGCATATATAAATATGAATTTGTATTATTGTACCTATTTATATACATACATATGATATACACAATTATATGATAATCTTATGAATCATTTCATGTAATTAAGAGAGTCGATAATTTCAAGTACAAATTTTAAGGGGGGTATACCTATACAAGGGATTATATATTTATTTTGGTTATACTCGACCTATATGATGTGATAATTAGTCGTTTTCAAGATTTCCTCAAGAATCCCCACGTGGAGGTCCTTGTCTTTGGATTCGATTGAGATTTGCTTGTTACTTAACTTGAACTTGCAATTCACTGAAAGTGAGACGCACGTGTATCACGGGTGCACGTGTGTGTGCCTGTTAAGTATCTCTGGAGTCAGGCCTATGTGTGTGTGTAGATCCTTCTCCAAAAAAAGGGAGTGTCAGAGAAAGAGCATATTTGTTCCTACTTTTCGTTCAAAACTCCTTTCTAACTACATTATATAAAAAAAATTACATGTACGGACCACAAACTAACTGGTCGCTAATCAGATAATCTTGACATGTGAGCTACCTTAAGTTTTTTTTTTGGTAAAGGATTGATACAAGTTAGGCCGTCTACGTACATGTGAATATGTAGCTCTTATTCCTATTCAAGTGTACAACTGTTAGAGGTAAAAAATATTAGTTGTGTCTAATTTTCTGACAATTTTAATTACATAATAGTTATAAAAATATATACGTATAGATTAAGAAACATTCTTTCTGGTCAGAGAATTAGGAAACCTACAAAAAGAAATCATACTGTCTAATGAGAAAAAGGACTAGAACACAGATTTGGTGAACTAGAATAGAGGAAATTACGCAAGTAGTGTTGAGAGGTAGGCAGAGAAGTTAACTTGGAAAGTTGTTTATTGTCGAGCTTAGCGCGCGTCACACACGTTCCCCATACATCTCCACTTGATCCAAGAAATTACTAAACTCTTATTACTACTTCAGAAAACAGTTGTGAATTGATGTCCCCCAAAAACAAAAAAAAAACAGTTGTGCATTTAATTTTTTTTTTCCTTACTTCATTAAATATTGCCTTGTCAAGCCTAGTGCAAAGGGAAATTAGAGTTCTTAATAGTAAGCACCAAAACGAAAATGTAGATATTTTTTTATAATCTAAATTATGAATAATCAAATAATTGTTTTACTTGAAAACCAGCTTTGTTTTGTTTTCTTGTAGAACTTTATCCGAAAATAAAAATATTTAATATATGTGCAAAATTTAAGGACGGATAGCGTAATTAATTTTGTCACAAGATGATATATGTGACCATATATGGTCAGATACGTCATCAGCTTTGAGTTTCTAGGATAGATTTTATCATTTCTTATAGTTGTTAATTAGTTATGTTTTTTTTTAATTGAATGTATAATTTATTCAAAACAAAAAACTGTATTACATGGGCTGTGACATTGTGAGCTGAAAACAGTTTGATAACAAAAAAGAGATATTTACAGGAGCAAGAGTTTCGTTTTCTTTTTTTTGGGGAGGGCTATGGAGGAAGGGTAGCAAATCACAGACGGTGGCCAACGTCATAACTCATAAACTTGATCTCCTTGATACCAACGATACAAATTTCAATAGTATCATTAGTTACCAACGTACGATACGTCCAAGCACTAGTGGAGTGGAGAAGATTATACATATAATTAAGGTCCTTAATCAGAAATGTTTATCGAACTGGTTACAAGGTAAAGGGTCGTGGATAACTAAATAAACACTGACTTAGGCTAGCTCTGATTAAGTTATTCAACCGGAATTAGATTTTTTTAGGTTATTCATATTGTCTACATGAATGTGAAAACACAATATTCTGTGCTGAAACAAGAAAAGGATTGCTATTTGCGTGCCACATCAAAGTGTTCTTTGGCGTGAGAAGTTTATATCAAATCAATAGAGATAACGTGGAAGCTAAGTGAGTATCAGAAGAAACATGAGGAGACTAAATTCCAAGAGACATAGTACTGTACTAAGGTTTAATTTGTATATATATAACAGAGTAAATTTTGAAAAAACAACCTGTTTATGTTTACAGTTTTGGAAAATATACTCATTTTATCTATCTGTAAAACACAAATAGTAAAATAACCAAACCGAAATTCAATAATAATTAACCAAAAAAAATCTAAACTTTAAACGAAACTTTGCCTGATTATGGAGTGGCGTCTGATTGAGTTGTGGGTCTAGTTATTTTTCTGAAATTGCTAGTGCAACCAAAACCAAATCCTTCAGAGAGTTTGTTCTTTCCTAAAATAGGGGCATCTGCACGAGTAATATAATGTTGTTGAAATTAGCCGTAATGGTTCCATCCTTTTGGGAAAGCTTCTATAGAAGAACCAACGACTCCAAAACTCGGATTAGGAAGAGAAGTATTTTCTTAGTTATTGATTTCAAGCCAAAGGACGTGTAGGTTCATGGAAACATAGGATTAAGAAATTAAAATGGAAAAAATGTTGTATCGACGATTATTTACAATTTCTGTGTTTATTTTTCCTCGCAATGAGGTGTTTCAGTTAGTGATTGTTCCAAGTCAACCATACAAGTAAAATTTTAAAAGCTTTTAAATAATTTGTTCGATTCTACATGAGAGTAGGCATACCTCTAAAATTTTGTCAAAACTACAATTTTTGACATTGAAATAAGCTTTTATAAATAAATAAAAAAGGGGACCGAGTCTAACGTGAACCACCGCCATGTAAACCCAAGTCTTCGTGTCGACTTAACGTCCTTACATAATTGAAACATTACATAAAAATGGAATTCATTAAATTAGAAGTTCTTAACCATACACACTAGTCGTTAAATGTGAACCTACTTGTATCATACATTCACCATCAAAGAGGAGATATAAGCGCATCTGTGGGTGTACGCCACGCTCACGCGCATAGATATTGTTCAAAATTATAATTGAAATACTATATGTCAACCGTAGGGATATTATTCTTCCCATATCGTTTTAACTACAAGTGCAAGTGGCCGTGGTCGAGAGGCAGGACCAGACCAACTTAGTTGAGTTTTTTGTTTTTAACTCTTATTTAGATTGCGACATGGTTGCTCGTAACGTAAGATCTGACTTTTTGATATATTCATGACATTTATTATATATATATACAACTAAAAATAATAATTATATATATACAAGTCCCCTGATATAGCCAAATAAAGTGAGAATGACGGTCAAATACTCAGCTGCTGTTTTGTCTTAGCTTTTCCTAATCGGTTCTTATTTTTCTGGTCCTTAATTATTTATTTATTTTTATTTTTTCCTTAATTATTTATAATACGTAGAAAGAGGCATCGAATCAGAAATCGCAATGTTACATGTACAGTTTGATCTTTAACTACGAAAACACTGTAACGGTTTATTGGACCACTACGGTTTACTGCTCATGTACATGTGTTACACTTTTATTCAATATTAACGTATGCTGTTGTGTTTTTTATTTATTAATACGTCAAATTTTTGATAGTATCTTACGTTGAATGGTTTTTTCTTCTTTTATACCTTTTACATGTTCTCAAATTTATGTGTATCAAGTACGTACATTACTAACCTGTATATATCGGAGACAAAAAAAAAAGATAAGCGTAAATTTTAATGTAATCCAAATAAACTTGATCTGGGTGATTATTTAGGTAAAACCTTAGGAAATTATATTGAATATTATCCTATAAATTAACAAAAACAATTCAAATTTTCACGTAAAACGACACTGTTCTCATGTTCCCACCAATGCCATGTTCCCTGATTGCTAGAACCGAGATGTATAGATACAGAGATTCGTCCTGTATAATATATGCTATAACGTGCTTTGGATTCCTATATATTGGTCTCCAAAAACAGAAAATTCTGAATGCAAAGCTTATTTTCAAAACATTTTCTTCAGTTTGTTTATACGTTCGTCTGATAATGAAATGTCTATAGATCGTTAGAATGTACATTTTAAACTGAAAAATAAAATGAATTCAATAGTCGCATGGCGGTGAATGCAAAAGCACATATGAAGGATTTTTGGAATCAGAAGACAAATCTTACGAATAAATAATTGTCGAATGAAAGCATGACACATGTATGTATAATGGAACCCATAAACCAATAGTCCGATTGGAGATGTAAGAACGTACCGACATAAACATTCGCAATGTTACTTCCGCGGACATCAATTAAATGGTCAGAAACGTTACACATGATGTATAGAAATCTCTAAAAGTAATGGTTTAAGCAGATCGATGATGTAAACTTTTAGGTTATCCACTCAATAAAAATGAGAAGTTGAAAGAGATGTTTTCCATAAGACCATAACTAGTATAGGAAATTAACAAAAAGAATACAAATAAGGAGCCTTTAACAATAATGAACAAGCAAGTGGAAAAGAATAGCCAAGTAACATGTGAGCCATTTATTTCCTTTGCAGTTTGTCATAATTTCATGAAAATATCACTATTATCTACATAATGATGAACATTGGAAAGATATAACCAAAACAAAAGAAAATCTGAGTTTGAACAAAAATAAACCACTCTTTTTGTTTTTAAATGAACTTCTAAGACGAATAACTCTCAAAGAATTGTTTGTATCTGATGAGAATTAATCAAACATATATGTGACTGACTCAATCTTGATGTTCAAACGGGATACGAATCATACAAATTTCTTGGGACACAAGGTGATTCCCTCCAAACCCTAGCGTGAAGCTTCAGCAATTCCTTCGCCTTTTCTTTAGTCTTGTTACCACAGCTAACTTGAAGCACCAAACACAACTTTGCTACAACTCCAAGTTGTAACATCTCTTGCAACAAAGATGGTGTTGCGCAAAACTTCCCAACCGAAAGCAAAACCCTAACCGCCCTTTCGCTAGTGATTTGTGAGACCCTCAATATCTTCTTAGACACAAGGGCAATAGCCGCACCGTGATTCAAGAACTCAGATCTTCCCTCTGCACATTGACATAACATATCAAGAACCACCATCGCCATCTCTGTGTTCCTTCTCTCTGATGAGAAAGTCTCATCCATTAAAAGCTCTATTATCATCGAAATAAATCCAGCTTCCACGGCCTTGTGTCTATTCCTTCCCCATGGACATATGATCACCAAGATCTGCATTGCTGATCTCGTGGCCTTGTGGGAGATCTGGTCATGCAAGATCTGAAGAACCTCAGCAAAAAGCTCACGTTCCAACAATATGATCTGCATTGGATCCGCAACTTCAAGGATTTTCTTGAGAAGCAAAGCTGCATATGCTCTTGACTCGTAGATCCCACGTTGCATAATCTTGGTCAACGTTTTCACAAGATTTGTTCCTTTCTTGTTGTTTAAAAGACTCTTAAGGGCTGTCTCTGACGCTTCGAGGTGGTAGAGTAAGCTTAGGGCTTCGTCCATCAAGCTTCTTGAAGAATCAAATCTATTCTCCAACATGTTTGACTGGCACATGTCGTTGAGATTGGAAGAAGAAAGCGAAGAAGAAGGAGAGTTGTAAGTATCTACGGAGTTAGTTACGATATTTGCCAAGAATTCGGGAACTTCTGCGGCTTCTAAGCACCGCTTGTTCGTAGTATTCTCCGACACTATTTGACGTAGTCGTTTGAGGCATTTGACTTGGTTTTGATGCGAAGATGATGAATCTTTGATGAGCTTTTCGATCTCGGCTTTACAGATCGGAGGCTTTGGAGTTGGGATCCTCTCGACACCGTATGACGCGTTAAGGGTACACCAAGATTGGATCAGACGGCGAAGAGTGTGGTTTGGGGTGAGATCGGATTCGGTAATGACTTGTTTGGTGACCGGACATGAGTTTTTCTTACCGGAGAAGAGCCATTTCTCGATGCTGTCCCTGTCGAATGTTATGCCCGTTGAAACTATCACCGGATCCTTCATGATATCTAGAGATATCGGGCAGAGGAAGAAAGAAGGAATCTCTATCTCTTGATCCATTTAACACGCCGGAAAATATGAGAAAACAAAAACGAAAAGAAGAAGAAGAAGAAGTAAACTTGATAAATAGATGGACGAACGAATCTACAAAATAAAAAAATGAAACTTTGGTTTGAATGTGTAGTAGCTGAGATTTAGGAGATATGAGGATTGGTTTTAATACGTTAGCAAGAAGAGAGAGAGATGAAAGGTTGGGGTCTTTAAATATAAAGGGAGTTGCGGAAATATTCAGAATAATTACAAAAGTCAAACACACGGAAAATACATGGATTTGTTTAACTCTTTCTGGATAGCTGTCACTATTTATTATTTTTTTGTATAGTTTTTATAGAACGAACGAGGAACGTATATTATACATAGATTTGACTTTCGTTTTTCTCAATTAAAAATAAAATAAATAAAAATAAATACAATTAGATAGAAAAGTGAGACGTATGAAGAGTGTTGACTTGTCAAAAGAGATGCGATTACGGCGAAAAAAGTGTAAATAGTAACGAAGTCATTGGGGATTGGTTGTGGCGGTGTTGAACACAAATAGATTTGTCTGCTTTGTGTCTCTTTTTTAGTTTTTACTCACATGCCTTAATTGCTGATTCCTCCACTTCCTTTTCTTGCCATCCCCCATTGACTTTTTTTTATTAATGTCTTCTGTTTTACAAAAAGGAAAGTCTAAATTTGGCAGGCTTACTTGGAAACTGTATATGTACAACTGTAACTGTTATCAACCGAAAGGTAGATGAAAGATTTTGGGATTTCTTCTTACCTGTTGACAGAAACAAGGTTACTATTTGTTTTGGTGCCGACAAAACCTAAAGTGCCATTAACGGTCCTTTGTTGGATTTGTACAATGTTTTATGGCTGCAACTTTTATGACACAACTTTGGACCCATACTCCCTTGTTATGCTCTACTTTTCTCTAGGCGCTTCCTTCCACATTTGCTTTTTGGATATTGCTACTTTCAGTTAATTTTCCTTTTATTTTCATACATTGTATGTACGTTGCCCTTTTTGATCTTAGTGCCAATGGGATATATATCTATCTTGGTGGCAAATACCTTAGCCATATTAGTTTTTCTTTTTTGGAAATCTTGATGAAGTTTTGGTATTCATTAATATGTAATCTCCATTGGCCATTGGCATGTGATCCATGTCCAAAAAAAAAAAAGACGTCCCTTTCAAAACGAGAATCAAACTATATGTTCTAAATAACGTAATTTTTAAAAGATCATATAAATTGCTACTAATTTAAAACTCACTTGGTTAAACCATATTACAAAACTTGTGAATAATGTAATGAATTCGGAATCAGGTTTCAAGGTGCTCTAGGCACAGTAGATGTTTACATATTGCTTTGAGGAAGATATCCACAATTTTTTTTATTTTTTTTTGTCAAACATGTTGACATATGGTAGTGGTAAAAGCATGTATAATACTTGCTCGTAAGCTAATAAAAAAAAGTGAGCTGTTTTGTTTCTGTGAGATATCAACTTGCTAGATACCGCCACTTTGTGTTTTCCAAAATTCCAAATAAAATCTTTCGGTTCCAATTGCTTTGTAATTAAAATTTGCATATATTACAAAAAGTCGAAAAATATATATTTTATGATTACTAAACAATGATATCAGTTATTTAGTAGCATTTATAAATTACTAGTTGTTGATCCGCGCTTCGCGCGTGAGATTTATAAAAATTTTATTTTATTTTTTGTTATATTATTATTTTCGTTGTTTTTTTTTGTTTGGCATTGTTTGTTTTGTTGGCATTTTACTGTTGTAATTTTTTGTTATTCTATTTTTCATATCGATTATTTTTTCAATTTTATAGTAATTTAGTATTTGAAATGTTTATCATTATTTGGTATTCGTCAGAGGTCGATGGAAGGTTTATGCGGTATTCTCTCTTTTTACTAAGTATGTGATTAGAGAGTAAGTTTCCGGTGTCTGGGTTTGATATATTCTAGGATCTGACTTGTTTCCCCTTTTTTCCTATGTTCGAACCCGTGTATTCCGGCCAATGATTTTGAAATCGGTATCGTTGTTGCAGATGTGTCGCTCTTGTAAACGATGGTTCTAGAAAATGTTTTTCCTGTTCCGTTTAATTATCCAGTCCCAAACTCGTGTATCCCACGTTTTTATGATTCCTTTAACCGGTTTGATTGTTATGTGTTGGACCTCAGTCCCATGCTTTTTTAGATTTTGTATTTTGATTATTTAAAAATGTTGGACATGAAGCCCATATTTTTTTGGATCTAGTAAAAAAGAAAATGATAATGTGGTGCATGATGTGGCGCTGACGTGCCGAAAGGAGAATAGAGGAAATGTAACTTTATATATATAGATTAAGGACATAAGGAATGAAAAGCGTATGTGAACTTTTTTTTTTTTTGCTATTTGAAGAAATATGAAGAGGGTTATAGGGATATAAGTAGATGTTGGGTATTCTCAGTACTTCTACCTTATAAGAATCCGTACGATCTGATGCTGGCTTTGGTGGTTCCTCGTGAGTTATTGGTTATTGGGTTAAGCCATTTGTTTTTACATGGTCACTCTTTCAATCATACCTATGTTATTATTTGTTTCTAGCTCATTTGAGCTGATTGTAGAAACTCGTATGTTTATGGTATTAATATTATGGAAAAGATATGAAACTTGTATTTTTTATAAATGACAGAATCACATAACTCAAGTGAATTATTTCCATTTTATTACTCAATTAAAATATTATTGGGAAATAGAAATAAGTTAGGCAACTCATGGGCACGACCCAGAAGGCCAGAACTATGACCGAGTTGCAACTGTGCTACTAATCAGGGATTCGTTCAACTAGGAAATAATAATTTATCTAAATAGTAAATTGACTTCAATGTTGATAATATATAGTATTTATTTGGATTATGTACAGATAGCTCTGTTCCATTCTTTGAGCCGAGCGTCGGTCATATCTTACTGCCAAATTAATAAAATTAAGCATATAAAATACATATACGTATATATGATAATGTTGTTGATTTTAGGTGATGTTGCCAAAGAAAATTGAGTTAATTGATTAGTTATTTCCTTGATTAAAATTTATCTACAAGAAGGATGCTTATCTTATAAAATGTGCATATGCATTCCAATCAGTTTAGCCACGCCGATTTGTTTTAATCAAAACAAGAAAAGGAATCTTCATTCAGTGAAAAGAATCATGGTTCTGGTCGCCAGTGAAATGAAAAGTGTGATAAAATTAAACATTTCAAAATATTTGACTACTCATATGTTGCTTTGTATAATTTATATTCAGTCGTTTAACAGTTTTTTCAGTTTTAGTGACCAAAATCAAATACACAATATCTTGTTAAGAAGTCAGCTTACATTTCTAATTCTAAATTTTACAAATGTTTTTCAAATATGTAACAGAGAAATTATTATGTCTTATTTTATGGTTATTACCTTTTTTCAATAACATGTATTACTCAGATAAGAATTGAAGTAATGACCTAGCGACACCATATACCATGGATATATGAGAAGACAACAAATTCCCGTCGAAATAATTTGTTTTTTATGTAATAATCCCATTTAACCTGTTTTTAAACGTTTTAAAACCAAAAGCTAAAAGTAATGTTTGATTGATTCCTTACAAGTTTACAACCCACCCACTAACGTAAATTCTTAACTTCTGAATGAGGACATTCATCTATTGAAAACAAATGTGAACACTTACTTGATCAAACTTCATTTTTTTTAGTATTTAACTAAATCCCACAAAAACGGTCAAAAAATGACCAATACACAAAGAAACAAGCGGCCGTTATATAAAACAATGAACTTCTCCTTTGTGCCAATGCCACAAAATAAAAACGTTTTAATTAAAAGAAAACAATGACTTGTCCATCTTTTGACAAAATGTAAGATAACTTATACTTTATTGGTCAACCTTTTGTAACCATGATCGACATGGGATAATGGTTAAAAAAAATAAACATTGCATGGAGACATCAACAACATTTAGTCAATTAGACATTATCGTTTATATCATATAATACAATGAATCTTATTAAACTTTATACTAATTATCAAAACTGATAATGTAGTTTTTAGTATGTCAAGTTGGGAAATGGCAAGCATGCATGGTCTTGCTCTATGTTGATTTATTCTAACACATTGAAGCAGTCTGATACAAGTTGATAAGTAATTCAAGTCTTTTGGCCCGTATGGGTGTGTGGATGGATGGATGGATATGGGTCCGATATGATAGGTTAACTTATCAAGTTGTAGAATATGTCTAAATAGTACTTACGATAAATAAAATAAGAATTGAGTAGCGTAGAGATGAGATGAGTTATGTGAAAATTGGGACCAAAAGAAATTGGTAATGAGGTGTGGACAGCTTCATACAGGCTACCACATGGGATCGGATTTGATTATTTGAATATAGAAATGTTGGACCTCACATTATTGGCTGTTCTTACATCTTCTTGGCCAAATAACCAATTATTATCTATTATTTTAATTTTCTGTTTTGATTGTTTCAATAACTAAATAAATAGGAGTTGAATTAGCAGATTCTAGCGTTGACAAGAGAGAAGTTTAGTAGTATATTCTAGCAAGTTAAATATTAACCTCACATACATTATGTATGAGTTATGATAGTGGTATATACAACAATCGCGTCTTTGATATTCAGAACTTTGTTGTTGTTGTTTGTAGTAACTAGTAATTTGGTATTTTTAATAATCTAACAACAAAAGAAGAAAATTGGTTTTTTATAAGGCCCATTTAAGGCCTATTGAGTATCATCATCTTTTATAACTGAGGCCAAATCTCCAGAATGGAGAGTTTCACAACCACAATGTTGTTGATTAACTACGTTCAACCATTCAAGAGGATCAATACAGAGAACGTATACGAACATATATAGAGAGCCATAGAGATATTGGATTTTACTCATGACAAAAAGCTCAGAAGTACGTACGCTTCTCAAAAGTCTTGTTTCTTGTTCTATAAGCTACATACATTCCACTATTTTGATGCGATAATAATATGGAACGCATATGCTTTTCATTTTCATCAAAGCATCCCAAAAAGTTGTTCGTTGATTGATTTATCATTTGTCTTAGACTTGGAAAATATTCGTGGGGAATTAGAAGTGAAATAATTCGCTAAATAATAGCTTCCCCATCATTACTATAATAATTACCAATCCACCTCCAAATGTATTACCCTGTTACAGTTCTTTGTTTTCCTATTTCGATCTCTCTTGGTACAAAATGGAAACTTGGGAAAGATCCATGACATCAAACATTACTAAATTTTCTAACCTGTCAAAGATCTGAAGACAATGTCTATTAGGAGATTTAGGCTTTGGTTTGAAGATCATACAACAAACGCCAATAGTGCTAATTTTAGCTCAACCATGGCGGATTAACTATTTTTATCAAACATGATTAGTCGTCTTGTCCTTTAACCAAACAAAAACAACACCTAAGAAAGAGACAAAAGAAATCTTAAGCTTCGTGCATTCCACTAATCTCCCTTGTCTTTCTCCAAATATTTTCTTGATTAATATCAAAACTAATCAGAAACAAAAGAGGAGGAGGAGGAGGTGATCAGAGACACAACGATGCCTTCTCCTCCGGAAGACGAAACCCAACAACCCAAACCTGATTCGGTTCGGGGTCCGCCGGGTCATCAAACTTCCGAACGAGATACTCAACCACCACCACCACCTACACCACAATCACAATCACAATCACATTCTCAGCCTTCTCCACCGCAACAGCAACCGTACCCGCCGGTAATGGGCTATCCAGGCTACCCTCAAGCCTCTCCATACCAAAATTATCCAAACGCACCTTACCAACAACAATACCCTTACGCTCAAGCCCCACCCGCTTCATATTACGGGTCATCTTACCCTCCCCAGCAAAATCCGGTTTACCAAAGACCCGACTCATCCGGTTTTTTCAGAGGAATTTTGACCGGTTTAGTCGTATTAGTCGTCCTCCTCTGCATCTCCACGACCATAACGTGGCTCATCCTCCGTCCTCAAATCCCGGGTTTCTCCTTAAACAACTTCTCGGTCTCCAATTTCAACGTAACCGGTCCGGTTTTCTCCGCGCAGTGGACGGCGAATCTCACGATCGAGAATCAAAACACGAAACTAAAAGGCTACTTCGATCGAATCCAAGGTTTACTCTACCACCAAAACGCGATCGGAGAAGACGATTTTTTAGCGAGTTCGTTTTTTCAGCCTGTTTACGTGGAAACCAAGAAATCGGTTGTGATCGGTGAAACCCTAACAGCGGGGGAGAAAGAACAGCCAAAAGTTCCGAGCTGGGTTGTGGAAGAGATGAAGAAAGAGAGAGATACCGGAACGTTGACGTTTAACCTGAGGATGGCTGTTTGGGTTACGTTTAAGACCGATGGTTGGTCGGCGCGGGAAAGAGGGCTTAAGGTGTTTTGTGGGAAATTAAAAGTTGCCTTTGAAGGTGTTTCCGGAAACGGTGCCGTTTTGTTGCCTAAGCCTCTTCCTTGTTTGGTTTACGTTTCGTAATTGTTTCCTTCTTCTTCTTCTCTATGGATATAATTGATTCTTGTATACGGATTTGAATGTTTACTATACAAATTCATAGAAAATTCTTCTGCTTAATTGTCTTTTAAGAAAAGAAAAAAAAATTAGATACGATTTCCAGTTTAGCTAGAGAAATGAATTAACTACTATAAAGATCTTCGGTAGGATGGATTTGTGTGGGAATAAAAAGATATCAAAGAGATTGAGTGCGTCTCGGAATATATAAAAGCACTTTAGGTCACTAATTATAATTATATTGATTGGTTAGTCAATGTTTTCACTTGATTTTGGTCTAATTATTCTTATGTTTCTGTTTACAAAGTATTCTCAAGTTCTAAATTCTAATCAAGCTCATCAACTATGGCGAATCTATGACTGACTTTCATGGGATCATATCCTCCACGATATAAGAGTTCTTGCACTTCACTTTACACTTAAAAACAAAAAAAAAGTCTAATCAAGTTATCAATTATTTGTCTAAGCATGAATTATTTCCCATAGAAGCCAGTTCTTAGTTAATATATAAACTTTTATTTATCGACCAACTTTTTTTTTTTGTAATAATATAGAATCACTTTTCGATTTATCTCGAGATAACACCTCCATTTTGAAAAACAATCAAGCCACTCGATCCTCGGTGTATTATGTGGTGAAGCAATTTTTTAAAATAAATTAGACCAAAGAGATTTGATGCTAATTTCTTGTTTGTCAATGTTTTACTATTGTTTTTTAGTCTCAACTTTTTCCACTTTTAAAAGTTAAAGCACTTATATAGGTAATTAGGTAGAAATAATATTAAAGTTAGAACTTTTTTTTTTTGGGCAATTAAAGTTAGAACTTTAAGTTCATTCTTTTTATTGTAAACTAGAAAGTTGCCCACGCAATGCGTGGGTTATACATGAAATATTAATTATAAATTATATTAAGTTATATATGTGTATAAGTGTTAATATATGTTTTGAAAATAATTTTAAAACAAAATAATATGTTTATATTCATTATGTGTATTACAAAATAATTAACGCACAAACAAAATTGAACGCGATCGCAAAATTAGTATAAAACATATTTTGTGTACATTGTAAACATTAAAAATAAACGAAAAGTATATTTGGAAAATATAAAAATGAATGAGATCTAAACAAAGTAATACAAATTTAGCACATACACAATATACAAAATTAGCACATACAAAAAATTATGAGCATTTGTTACTCACCTTATATTTTATTATAACCTAAAAGTAACTTAAATTTTAAAAATGATCAAGTTAAACTTTTCAAAATATCAAATTAAAAGATTTCATTTGAAACATATGATATATTGTTTTAAACTTTATTTAGAAAAGATTTTTCAATTTAGATTATAAAAGCATTTAAACTATAGTTATGTAAAAACTAAAAAAAGAGATCATAAGCCAAATAAACAGAGGAAGATTACATGAGAAATCGATTGTATGTTTGGTCTCTCTAGGAAA